CCAAATGGAAGGATTTGAATTTGAAGCTCCCAAACCTTCCTGCTTTCGATTTGCTGCCCTCTTTGTTTGGAATGCTGTCCCTACCTTGGCTCCCCAAGCCCCAAGCCCCCTTCTTATTTATTCCCCAAAGTGGTTCTCAATTACTCCTTCCTTTGGGAAGTTGTTTTTTGGTTACTTCTGCCTCCATATTCCATCTACACCCCATGCACATCTTTTTCTTAGCAATAAGGAACAACATCTACCTCTCTGCCTCTCTCACTAAACTGTGAGCTCCGTAAGGGACTGTCTTATTCGTCTTAGGCATCTACAGTGCCTGATAAACAATAACAAGGACAATAATAACAGCTAATACTTTTATAGCACTAATATACACCAGCTACTGCTTCAAGTGTTTTACACATATTTACTTTATTTAATCCTGTAAGATGGATACAATTATCCCTATTTTGCATATGCAGGCACTTGGGCACAGAGAGGTCAAGTAACTTCCCAAGGTCACTTATGTATTAATAGTATGCCAAGTTCAGGAAATGTTGAACTAAAGTGAACTGCATGCTCTCTATCACACCTCTGATGAGGGAAGTACAGTCACCCAGGCCCAGGAGGGCAAGAAATTCTCAGGAAGAGGCATGTTGTGAGTCTCCCCAGCCTAAGCCTGCGCTGCCCCCTACTGGCCAGCTCTGCCCTTGCTGCGGGCTTAACTGGGTCAGAAGTCCACCTGAGCTAGAGTTTGGGGTCTGACAACAAGCACAGGATATTCCAAGGGGAAAGAGAGCCAGATCACAGGGGGAATATGCATGGATTTCCCCTTGATCCACACACCCAAAGGACCATCTCCCTGATTGGGATGACTGAATGAAACCCCTCAGAATCAGAACAGAACTGGGAAAGTAAACTTTCTGCCCCCAAATGCCATAGAATGCACTCCAAACCAATAGAAATGTTTATTTTTAAAGAAAACTCTTACATAAGTATTTGGACTATTCTTACATTAGGCCCTCCTTTAGGAGGGGAAAATGGAATATTACTTATATTAATAGATTGGTTCTCAAATGGGGGGCCTCACAGAACTCTTCAAACACACAGCTGCCCAGTCTCCATTCTAAGCTGCTAAGTCAGAACCACCATGTGCACTATGTCTGCTCAGGGTTAGCCTCAGGCTACATTCCCCCAAACCCCAAAATCTTTAAGACATTTAGCATCCCACTTTTCCAGTTTAAACTAAGGCAATGTTCTCCTATTTGTGCGTTGGTAGAAAACTGCTATTTTACAACTCTGTAAGTTGTAGGTAATTGAAAGCAATGCAAAAAACTTCTTGTTTTTAGACATGCAAATTTGATCCTGTTTGGCAGCGGTTCCCTCTTTGGAAGAAATCCGTTCTGCCTCCTTTGTACATTCATTTCATTATTCCTGATCTACAATGGGTCTGCTTTTTGGACTCTCTTGAACCTGTTGTAACATCTGCCTGATTCCCTCAGGGGTTTTTAAGTTAAACAAGTCTTTAGCACGTGTTCATTTTATATCAGAATGAGAGTAACAATTTTACTGTTTTGGAAAATTATCTTTAATACGCCAGTGGCATTTGGTGTATTACACTTTTCTTTTCGCCACACTTTGGCCATCTGCTTCTTGTGCTCCTTGCTTTGGTTGAACACTCAGGGGGCTTCCTCAGAAAGGAGCTCCTTCCTGGGAGAATAGTGGAATGACCAAAAAATGTTATATTTTTAATAAGGCAAAAGAGAGGTGAGGGTGTTCGTTCCTAACCTTCTCTTCTACAAAAACTAAGAGTATAAACAAAACTAACATTAAATACACCCATTGGGTTTTCATTGGGCTCTAACTCTTTAACTGCCTTACTGATTTGTTTACTATACTCCTTTCTTACTTGTGTAGTTGATCGATTTATTAAAATTACATGTTAGATTGTTTTGTAAATGCACCTTATGCCATCTGGCACCTCGTGCTATGGAAAATACATATAAGGTCCTTGTCATCTTCCTGAGTACACAGATTTATCTATAAGAATTAATGTTATTAGGGCTGGCCGAGTGGCTCAGTTGGTTAAGAGCTCGCTCAAGAGTTTGAGCTCTGAGCAACAGCGGTTCGAGTCCAGCCCGAGCTGAGCAGCCGCTGAGCTGCCAACAGGTGGCAGGATGGCTCAGCTAAAAAAAAAAAAAGAATTAATGTTATTTACTCAACAATTAGTTATTGAGCGCCTACGTGTGCCATGCATAATGGCAAAAAACCGTCCCACGGAACTGACAGGCTAGAGAGAGGGATAGACAACACAAATAAATGAATAATTTCAAATTTTAAGACCAACAGATGAGGTGCGTGTTTTGAGCCATCAAGATGTGAACAGAAGTGACGTCTGCAGCTTGTGGTCTCACTCTTAAAGGGATGAGGAGAGCCCTTCCTGGTCCCCAATTTTTTTCCTTCCTGTGGGCTGGAATGTAGGCACAGTGGCAAGGCATCTTGGACCTTGCAGATGAGGGTGACACCTGATAGGTGGCATAACAACAGCCTAGAAGGAGCCTGGAATTCCAAGAACTTCGTAGAGAGCAGAGCCACAAGATCAGTCCTGAATTTTCCAAAAGAAAAATAACTTTCTATCATGTTTGTTTCGGGTACTGTTATGTTGGGTCTCTGGCCTATCAAGCCCATCTTATAACCTAACTATGACAAAGCTCAGAGGAACAGGGGATGACTCTGAATGTGGAAGTTAACAGAATGTTCCTATGTGAGGCTCAGGAGCCTCAAAGAAAGTGAGATCTTCAGGGAAAAGGCAGTTTAGACGAGAGGCCAAAGTAGTTCAGGGAGAGGCTGAAGCCACAAAAACTGATGGGCATATCAGGATATTTCTCCTGATGTCAAAAAGCACACAAGAGGCAGCTTGAAGCAACTCCCACTGGCCAAATTTGGGTAGTTTTTAAATTTTTTTTTTTTTTAAATTATGTATTGAGACAGTAGGGGAAATTTGGATATGGAGTGTATATTTGATAATAATATATCAATGCTAAATTTCTGGACTGTGATCATCATAATGTGGTTATTTAGGAGAAAGTTCTTTGGAGATACTTGTGGAAGTACGTATTTAGTGGGGAGAATCATGTATCTGGAACTTACACTTGAATGTTTCATCAAAAAAAGTTTATAGCTATATAGCGTGAACAAATGTGGCAAAGTTTTAGCAATTAGTGTATCAAAGTAAAGATACAAAACAAAAACAAATGAAACAAAAAGGTGAGCTGGTATGGGGTGGGGATGTTTATTCAAAAATAGGGTTCCAAGTGAAGCAACGTCCTCCACAACTAGACTGAAGAACAAAACGACAGCAACTTGTCTGTTCCCCTCCCCCAATTCCCCAATAAAATATTTTTTTAAAAAAATAAATAAATAAAAATAGGGTTCCAGAGGCCCCAAGGGATGGCCTGGGAGAGGACGGACTTTGCCACTTCACAAATCATCCTGTGTGTCTGCTTGGTCACCAGGTGTCCTCTACAGCCCTAGTTGTTCCAGGCTCAGAATGGGCTTTACTCAAATAAATGCTTGTGGAAGGTCCTAGGATTTGTCCCATCCTCTCCACTCTGGGAAGAAAGGCTGGGCAAACTCATAGTGCTGCTGTAGGAAGAGGGTTGATGTCTGGGCAGATAGGCCTGGTGACCCCACCCTCCTGGGTTTCCTCCTTCCTCACTTCTTAATCCTCTTACATTTTACCTCTAAAAAGTAGATTTCCCTAAGGCTCTGCCCAAGGCATTTTCTCAAGGCTTACTCCCTTCCTCCTTAGGTGAGCCCCTTCACTCCTATAGAGTATTTCCAGGCCTGCCCACGCCCCTCACACACACACACACTCCAGACTCATATATCCAGTCGCAACTGGACATCTACACTTAGATGAATTATAGCCAACTCAAATTTAACATGTCCAAAATGGAAATCTCCAATTTTCCCCAGACCTGGTTTTCTGCAGTATTCCCATCTCAGTAAACAGTATCTCCATCCACCCCCACTTCTCACTTCCCCTCACTCCCCAACATCCAATCCACCAAGTTCCTCCTCCAGTCTACAACCTAGATCTGGCCACCATCGCCCTCTACCTAGATTGCTTCAATAGCTTCCTAGCTCATCTCTTGCCTCTACCCTAGGCTTTCTGAAGCCTATTCTTCTCACAGAAGCCAGAGCAATCTTTAAAACGTAAATCAGAGCCAGTCAATCTCCTAGCTTTCAGTGCTTTAATGTTTTCCCATTATTCTTGGAATGAAAATGCAGGCTCTTCACCAGGGAGACCCTACACCGTCTGCCTGCTCCACGTCTTAGCCTCATCTCAGCCCCACTCATTCCACTTGCAGCAACCTTCTTGTCAGGCTCTCTGCATTACTCGGCATCTCTCTTTCTGGAACATTCTCAGCTACACCAAGGCTACTTCCTTTTCATCCAGGACTCAATTCAAATGTCCCCTTTCCAGGTCGATATAAAGAAACCTGCCCTCCCTGTTAAATTTTAGATATTGTCTTCTTTCTTTATTGCCAGTTCTTTCCTCCCCCATTCCCCCCATACACACACACACACACACACACACACACACACACACACACACACACACACACACACACACACACACACTAGACCAGAAGCATCATACAAGTAGAGTGCACCACTCTATCTCCAGTGCCTGCTAGGCTAGGTGCTCACACATGTTTGTTGAAAGAATTAATTTATACATGACAATTTTACATGTTTTAAAATATCCTTACTTGGCCAAATAAAAAGCTGCCAATTCTGTGTCGTTCGTCATTTAAAAAAAATTCGTCAGGGACTAGATGAACCGGCCTCAAGCCCCCTACAACACAGTTGTTCTAAGGATAGGAGGGAGAGAGAACAGCGGATGGGGAGGTGCACGGCTGAGTGGAGGCACGGGTGAGCGAATGGATGGATACATTCTGGGAAACCAAACCCCAAATGCTGAAAAGATTAAGAGCTCACTTCCCTAGGCCGCTCACCTGGCGGGTCACAAAAGGGTTACTTCAGGGCAGACGGGGCGCGGAGGGTGGACGGTCCTCGGTTCCCTTGGGTGTAGAGCAGAAGACTCCACTAGCTCCCCCATCAACACTCGCACACGCCTGTGGGTACCCCGGACGGCGCACAGCTGCACCTCCTACCGGCGAGCTCACTCAGGTGAACCCTCTCTAGACCAGAGTGGGGCTAGTGCGCGTGCGCGCAGGTGAGCGTCCAGTCCAGTCCTGTCCCGCCCCGCCCCGCCCCGCCCCCAGGCTTGGCCCCCTGCCGGGAAAACTTGTGGTGGATTGTTGCCCTCGGGTCGCTCCAGGGCGGGGACGGGGAATCGGGCCATGGAACTTACGTCGGGGACTCGAGAGCCCCGGGTCCGGCCGAGAGAGCGGGACCCAGACCGGCACCCCCGCCCGGACCGAGACCGCCACCCAGAGCGACAGCGGGACCGAGCCGAGGACCGGCGCCGGGAGAGAAACGGGGGCGAGCGGAGGGACGGGGACCGGGACAGGGGGCGGGACCGAGACCCCCGCCAGGACAGACACAGGTCCGGGGACCATCGCCCTGGTGAACAAAGAGTTTGGGAAAAACCCCGCCAAAGCCGGACGCGGGACGGACCTCAGCGGCCGACCAGGGACGCAGTCCCGCCCACCTGGCCCGCGCCCTGGGAAACCCCGGAGCTGCCGCCCCACAGGAAGGAGGGCTTCGGGCACCGAGGACCGGAAAGGTGAGCGGGGGCCGCCGAGGGCCCTGCGACTTCGGCACTGATGAACCCGGGGTCCAAGCCCAGCCTGCGCTGCTCTGGTGCCCCCTGACCACTTGTCCTAGGAAGCCGGTTTAAAGGAAGACAGTGCAGTCCTCCCTTTTGCGCTCTTAGAGGTGACCTGGAAAGGAAGGAAAACCTAATGGTGCCCCCACATCTTGACCAGAACTCGATTAACAAAGCCGAAACCACCCGTTAGCAGTGGAAGGGCCGGGGGACCAGGTAAGGAGGAAGAGAGGACTTTAGGACAGGAAGGGGAAAAGGTGGGAAGGAGATTCGGTGGGTGGGGTTAACCTGAGGCTCCTCCCCGACCCCCGACCACGTGGTCACTGGACTGCTCCTGAGGGTTTCAGACCCTTGTGTTCCCAAACCAGGCTTCCTCAAAGTCTCCCTTTCCTGGAGGCCAGGGCCTAATAAAGTCAGCCCAGTGACGGTTTAATAATATAATGTGTAACCCCTTCCAGAGGTATATATATATATTTCAAAAACAGCTGAGAGAAGCTACACTTTGAACTAAAACTCCCCACTGAAGGGCAAAGATTCCCGGCGCCCTTTGTGAGGTCTCTCTGGGCAGCCTCACTCAAATCCCATGATTGCTTCAGTCTCCACCATCCTGAATGAGCAAACTGTTTTTGCCATCCCTGCCCGGTAGAACACAGCGCGTTCCCATGAGGCCTTGTGAAGGGAAAGCCTCGTGTCCTGGGAGACTTTGTGAGCTGGGAGAGGGTGGGGATGGAAGGGAGGACAAGGGGCAGCCCTAGACCTCACACACACACACACACACACACCCAGGGAATTGGTCTTTTTTTTTATTGAACATTACATCCAACTCCACAAATATTGCTGAATGTGTGCCGTTCCAACAAGGAGACAGAAGGACCTGGAGTAATGGCTTTCTTCTGGTTTTTGACACCTGCCCTCTTTCTAAGGAGTCAGCCTCCCCTCTCCTGTGGGACTTGTGGGTTTAAGTACAGTGTCTCTCCCTGTTGTGTCCACACAGCGGGAAGGCTACTATCCTGAGTTTATATTACATTATCTAAAACCAACTAGTCAAACAATGATCAAAGGTGTGTCCAGAAAGAGTCACAGGCACTAGCTCTTGTTTCCCTGATGAAAGCCACATTACATTCCAGCTGCATGACTGGGGAGAACACAGAGCTGCATATTTAGCTTGCTTTATAAACCAGTGTCCTCATCCCCTGCCTGGGCATGAGTCTTGTGAATGCAAACTAGTTGTGAAGTGGTCAGTGGTCGGGTCCATGCTGAACAGAGAAGCTCACGAAAGAGGCTCCTAGCTACCTGCCTGGTTAGATAGCTCCCACAGGCTGATAAACTATCAAAAGCAGTGCTCAGAATTAACAGAGATTAAGTAATGGGAGTAGTTAGTGGAGTTGGGCCAAGTGTTTGGATGCCATGTGGGGTCACTAAACCAGAGAATTCCTGGAGTATGAAACCACGACAAATGTTGTTTCTGTTCTGCACATTCTTTGCCATCTGGGCCCAGAATTCTAATACTGAACAAGCTACTGCATTTGAGGCCCTCTAATGGCCATATATGTTTTTGGTTTTAGTGAACCCACTTCAGGGAGATATCTGCCCTCAAACCCCAGGTCTGGACGAGAGGAAGAGAAATACTACCAATCAGAGGCTGAAGGACTCCTGGAATGCCACAAATGCAGATACTTGTGCACTGGGAGAGGTGAGCCATTTTGGAAGCAGTTGGGTCATTTACTGTCGCTGGTGGTTCTGGAAGGGGTCTGCGCTGGTGAAGCAAAAATTCAAGCAGAATTGAATTCCTAGCATTTTCGTTTCCATGGCTACATGAGGTTCTTGTTTTCTAAAAAAGTAGAAGCGTCTAAAAGGTGCATCTAGATTTCCTGTGCTTCTCTTCAAACGTGCCCCGAGGTCTGAATTAGAGATGGAAGTCACCTGGAGGGGGCAGCTGGGTTGTAGCTCACAGCAGGAGATCTGATGCCTGAACACTCCATCATGGCTTTTAAACTTTGTTGACCGATACCCACAGTAAGAAATACATTTTAGGGCCGGCTGAGTGGCTCAGCTGGTTAAGAGCTCGCTCAAGTGTGTGAGCTCTAAGCAACAGCAGTTCGAGTCCCGGCCCGAGCTGAGCTGCCAACAGGTGGCAGGATGGCTCAGCTAAAAAAAAAAAAGAAATACATTTTACATTCAGACCAAGTTCACTCACTCACACACACACACACACACACACACACACACACACACATCGTGAAACAGTACTTACCCTATTACATACTAAATGCACGGATTAATTTCTATTCTATTCTGTTTCATTAAAAACAAACAAAAACCAAAACCCACACTTATTAGAACCCAGAGTTTGAAAAACACAACTAATATCATGTGCCAAATGTGGTTTCCCAGAGTTCCCATCCTAGTACCAGTCCTGGCCTTGCCAGCAATGAAGAAAATCTGGTTTGTCAGGGTGATCCCTTGTGGCGCATGTGAATGGGTGAGAAACTTTCCTAGGCTGTTTATGACTAAGCAGGGAAAACTTCTCAGCCTAAGGGAGAGAAGTCATGGAACTTATACCAGAAAGTGTATTTTAAGATGATTACAATGATATACCTGATTATGGGATTGTGTGGAACTTTCTTTAAAGAGCTATAGGCAATCCTGATACAAGAGTCCTCATTTTAGTTTTTATATGTTGGCACAACCTCATTGTTTTTAATTCTGTCAACAACTCCTGAGGCTCAGAGAGGTACAGTAAGTTACCCAAAGTCACACAGCTATTAGGTGAAAGAGCTGGAATTGAAACTTAGAGCCTGACTCTAAGGCCTGAAACAGTTTACTTGCTTGACCTTTCTTCTTTTCTCGATGATATAAATAATAGGAATAAGCCAGAGGCTAGTTAACAGACTTGTTTTCTCTATAGAGGTATGTTTTCTTCTGTGGTTGATTTACCCAAAGGAGAGGGCAGACCTTGAGGCTCCTGACCAAAGCACACCTTGATTTACCTTTGATTGCTTCTGGCTGTTTGGCTTTGGGCCTAGAGGTTGGGTTTCTGATTCAAGATAGTGAAAGGATGGGCTCAGCAGCCAGAAGCTAATGAGGGCTTATAAAGATCTCTGGACGGGCAGAGACCCATATAAATACACAATACAGTGCTGTATTGAGAGAAACAGCCATTGAACACCAGGAACTTTTCTCAAGCAGGAAATACATACCTGGATAAAGGTCATCCGAAGGTTGTTCAGCCTTCTCTTAGAGTACATCTTTTATGACTTCTTTTCCTTGTTGGTGAAATCATGTCCTCCTCTAGCAAACTGGCAAAAGTGGGAGGCAGTTGTGTCTCTCTCCATCTTCTGGGGGAGACCCTAGAGTCTGGGCTATGTGAGTCAGCCTAACTTGGGAAGTTCAGTGGAAGGTTGAGAACACTGATGGAAAGAGAGGCCCCAAATCCACATTTACAGGCAAGATCCCTCAGAGACAAAATCTTCAGGTGCTGAGGATAAAGATGAGATAAAAAGCAAGTGTGTCACATGTACATATCAGATCACCAGGAATCCTGAGGGACCGGTGAGGAGTTACGTGTTCCCTGGGAAGAAGGTACATTTTCTGCTCCCCTCCTGCCTCTGATTTGCATTTGGAACAGCTTTTTTCCCTTTTGTTCTTTCCTTCTCCCTTTAGACCCTTAGTGCTTAAATAATGATGGAGAAGATTCACAGGAGAGCTAGGCCAGTGGAACAAGGAAGTTGTAAAAATCAATCAATCAATCAATCAATCAATCATGATGTCTGCATTCCACTTGTAGCCTTACTTGAAAACCATCTTTAAAAGTTTAATTTCATTTTCTCCCAAGAAAGCTGTAATCCCTGGAGTCAGTGGTGCTTGTCTCTCCCTCAGAGCCTGGAGATTTAGGTTTCAAGATGGCTTCCCACAGCCAATGGCATTGACTTGTGATCACGCTGGAAAGGTTCAGGGTTTTTTCTGCCCAGTTTATATTCTCAATCCCCACTTTTTGGTACTTTTTAATATCTTAACACAGTATTTATCTGGATTAAGCTCACACCAAGATTTTAAACCACAGTTGACTTTAAGAGTGTTAACTCATTAACAGATCTGAAGGATTCAGCCTGGGTCAGAGGAAGGAATTAACCCAAAATGAAGTATTGCTTCTTAGGAAAGAGAGGGGCTTATCAGAGAGCCAGATGCCTTCAAGGGCTGAGGAAGGCCTGGAGAACCTCTGAGCCTTTATTTTTAAAAACAGATACCCCTGGACATCCCTTCCTGGTGACTCTTTTCTGGTTCTATTAAACCTAAAACAGGAATAGGGGCTTGTGTCCTCTCCATACTCTATTAAGAAATATATAGCATATATTTGCACGTGTATAGCTAAACACTGGGAAAAGCCTAAATGTCGTTTACATCGGAATTATTTAAAATTATTGCGGTACTCATTACATCCTTTAAAATTATTAAGTAGATTTTTGGTGAGATAGAAAAAATGTTCACACTATATTAAGTAAAAAAATAGGTTATATAAATAGTAGAGTAGGACCCTGTTCTTACCTAAACAAGCAAATAAACAGCAAAAATTATGCATATATGGCAGAAAAGGGAAGAAGAAAAAATAATGGTAATGGTGTTTTTTATTGGATTTTAGATACGTTTTACATTATATATTTTTGTTTGATCTACATTTTTATAAATATGTGTTATTTTTATAATTAAAGAAAACAATAACGTTATTTGCATTTGGGGGAAAATTGTACAGTGTAAAGATAATACTTGAGAGTGCATATCATTTCAATTAAGAGAATGTGTAGATGTAACACAGCTTCATTCATAGACCAGATGGACCCGGGCATACAATCTGGTTCTCTGAAAGCGAGGGAGATGCTGATGCCTGATCGCAGAGTCAGCTAACCCACTAGAACCCTTCCAGCATGCACAATTCCCAGCTCAGACACACCCGGCTTTATATCATGCTGAGAAAAAGAAGCCACACATGAAAGAGTGCATAACTGTATGATTCCATTTACCTGAAATTCCAGAAAAGACAAACCTAATTCCTAATGGCAGAAAGCAGCTCAGTGGTTGTCTAAGGAGGAAGATGAGGGATTGATTGCAGAGGTCAACTTTCTAGGGAACTTTCTGGGCAGACGAAGTGGTCTGCATCTTGTTTGTGGTTGATTACATGGCAAAACTCAAGCTGTATGCCTAATGTAGGTCATTTTGTTGTGTATAAATTATATTTCAATAAAGAGCTGATTTTAAGGAAAGCAGCCAGCCAGCTTTGCTCGAAGATCCTTGTACAAGATAAAGAAGCCGGTGGCCCTGAAAGAATCCAGCTCTGGGAAAAATATCATGACCCAGATGTGCTCTTTAGGGAAACTAAAGAAAATGTTATACTTTAAAACATACTTATTGAGTTAAAGTCTAAGAAAAATAAAACCAATTATGTTTCTCTAATTCTGTAAGCCTGATGGGTTTAATTAACTTAATCTTTCCTACTTCTAATACACATGAACCATGGTTAACATTTGTTGTATAACTTCCATGCTTTTTTCTAACTTCATTGTATATTTTTTAAGTTCTATATTATAATTTCTTTCAAACTTGGAGAAGTTTCCTCTTTCAAACTGAAGATAGCCAAAATATACAAGAGAAGTATTTTTGAGTCTTTCTGGCAAGGAATGGCTAGGGCAGAGAATGTTGTTGCCTTCCATATAGGATACCTTTCCTTCTGCTCGCTCACTGGCCGGATTTCTCCCACCATCCTCCTGCACCCGACCTGGGAGTTACTTTTTTTTAGTCCAAAGTATCTCTGACATCATTTCTGGAGACCACAGTTCCCTGCTACCATCTAATGCAGCTTTGGCTGCTCAGGCCTCGGGGGAGTGCAGAATAAAGAGCTGGCTGTGGTTTGAGCTGCCACAGGGAAGATAAGCCTCAAGGTGGAAGTCTCCACATGAGAAATCGCATCTCTCAAAATGGTAATGCGCCCTTCTTTTGCAGCCTGCTGCCAAATGCTGGAGGTTCTCCTGAATTTGCTGATCCTGGCCTGCAGCTCTGTATCTTACAATTCCACAGGTGGCTACACAGGCATCACCAACTTGGGGGGCATTTATTATTACCAGTACGGAGGGGCTTACAGTGGTTTCGATGGTGCTGACGGGGAGAAAGCACAGCAGCTGGATGTCCAGTTCTACCAGCTAAAGCTGCCCACAGTCACGGCGGCAATGGCCTACAGTGGAGCCCTCATGGCCTTCTGCTGCCTCGTCATCGTCATGGGCGTCCTGCGGGTCCCGTGGCATTGTCCCCTGTGGCTGCTGGTTGAAGGCTTGCTGGACGTCCTCATTGCCGGGGCATATGTGCCAGCTCTGTACTTCTACTTCCACTCTCTGTCCGCTGCATATGCCTCTCCTGTGTGCAAGGAGAGAGAGGCGTTGTACCAAAGCAAAGGCTACCACGGCTTCAGCTGCAGTTTCCATGGGGGGGATATAGGAGCTGGCATCTTCGCTGCCCTAGGCATTGTGGTCTTTGCCCTTGGGGCTGTGCTGGCCATCAGGGGTTACCGAAAAGTCAGGAAACTAAAAGAGAAGCCTGCAGAAATGTTAGCATTTTAGGCTTTTTAAAACGTTCTGCCAACTATAAGTGATGGAAGTTACTCTGAACTGTTATTTTTCATGGAAGACATTGTGGAACTTGCCAACGCTTGAAAAGTATCAGGCCAACTTTGGTATCTTGGGTGCCGCTCCGGGTTACACGAAGTGTTGTTCTCTGATGTCTAAGCCTGGTTCTGGAGTCCTATTCATGAGGGACTAACCAAAATTATAACAAACAAAAAAAAAAAAAAAAGAAAAGAAAAAAAAAGCTGGAGCTCAAGACCCACAAGGAAAGGGCATGTGCTGCAGCAAAGTGCACGTCTTGATTAAATAAACGGAGATAACCAAGTGAATTTGAAGAACCTTATCTTCAAAGTTCATGAAAAGCCACATAGACATGAGACAGCATTGCAGCCTAAACTTTTCTAAACACAGCTGTCTTAAACAGATTAGCCCTGAATTTCCCCCCCGCTGAACCCTGTGGTCCTTCGCTTCCTTAATGCCATGGAGGGAGGGGATGGGGATGCTGGGGAGACTACTCCTGTAAAATTTAAGTTGGAGGTAGGCGTGGGCGGAAGTAAGAGGAGTCAGATTCATTTGCTGGGTTTCAAAGAAGCTATTCTAAAAAGCCCCTTATAATGGCCTTGAAAGCTCAATAAATGTTTTGTACCTCTTGTAAATGTACCATTGTACAAGAATAAAACTCAGCATCTGGAATTCAGGATCCATCCAGAAAAAAAGAATGTAAAATCTTTCCCAACAGAAGAATGCTATTTTGGCTAACTTCATGGCTTCTTATTGCATGTTAAATTATGACTTATGGACATTATAGTATATTCTTGTTACAAGTGAATATGTTCTTTATGTGAGTCTAATAAAAAATCTAAAGAAAAAATTTAATTTGGAGGTGATGGTTCTCTTTACATGTGTAACATTATTCCCCTAAATACAGGCAATATCATATTTAAAAGGTGAGTTCCATTTGGGTTTAGAAAAGAAAATTAGTATGTATGTGCTTGTATATGATTAGAAGATTTCTCGAAGAATCCATAAGAAGGCATTAACAGTATTTGCTTCTGGGGAGGAGTTCATTTTTCATTTTATACATGGCTTGACTGCACATATATTCATTTTATTTTAGATAAATAATTTGACTTGCCCTCCTCCATTTTTTCACATTTGCAGTGTGAAAACACAAGTAGGTGTATCATTAAGCAGAGTATTAAATGATCAGCCAGAAAAGCAGCCTCCCTGAGAAAGACCTACAACGAAAATCTCACACCTGTTTCAGATTCTCCACTTCCCTGAATAGAGTCCTCTGCTGTCTTTCCGGTGACTTGTCCCATCTCATCACAGAGACAAACTGCTACTCTGGTAGTCAGTCACCCTGTTTTCTCTTGATGTCTGTGACTCTGCACAAACAGGATGCTTGGAAATACCTGAGCCTGTTTGATATTGATAGCTAAGCCAGGTCAGGCTGGCTGGTACTGTAACAATATTCAGTGGCCATATTCCTTAAACAGACCCAATATCATTGGACTTGGAAACAGACCTTTATTCCTCTCGACTGTTGCAGTCAGTGGGGGTAGTTGACAAGATCTAGATTTATTCTGCCTAGTAGATATGTGCTGCATGGGTTATAATGTCACTGTTTTAACAGGCTCTGTCCCAGAGGAAACGATCAGATTGCCACGTCTTGTAGTAGTACGGTGTTCCTGTTTCCCTTCAGGGGGTGAGATACTAACATGTGTTCAGAATGAAAACCAAGGCAGAGAAAGGTGTTAGGTACAGGGATTCACTCCCTGTGAATTGGAATGACGTCCGGGTCAATTCACTCACTCTGCTATAGGGAGAGAGTGGCCAGTAGCTTACAGTGCTGGGTGAGAGTGGGAAGCTCTGGTCTGTTATTTTCAGATTTAAATTAAAGGAATGTAGCTTCTCAACACAGCCCTTGACTGCTGTTGTCCCGTGGACCTCCTAGGAATTCGTGTGGGCCCAGCAGCCGATAGGATCAGCGAGCCCAGTAGCTGTTGTATGTTAGAGATACTGGTCTTTGGCCACCCAGATTATAAACATCATGGTCCGCCTAGTGTATTAGAGGGTTTTCCTGATTTCTGGGAAACCACGCTTTTCATAAATTCATCCTATTTCTTCTTAAATCACTCACTAAGCCCCTTCCATTTTATAAATGTTACTCGTAGCATTACCATTGCTTGTATAACATTTTATGATTTTCCAAGTATTTCCATGTCCTCACTTCCATTTGGGCCTCACCATAGCCCTGTGGGATGACACAAGCAGACATTATCTTCATTTGTCAGATGAAGTGTCAGAGGCTTAGAGCCAATGACTTGGCCAAGGTAACAGGGCATTAAAGAGCAGGGATGTGAACCTGGCCCTCCACTCTAGGTTCATATGCTTTTCTCTTAGTTCTGTTTCTGATCCCTGAGAGAATGATGGGAGACCTTCTTCCAGAAAGGTGCCTCAAAGAGGCTGGGGCCTGTGTCACTTACAAATGAAGGCTGGCCTTGCACAAGAAGACATTCATCTCCATTCACTTGTTGACTCCCACACCTCATGACACTTGTGGGTGCCCTACACTTGTAAGAAACCCCCAAGTGGACAACCCAGGTGTCCATCCGTAGGATCCCAGTTGAACAGACTGCTTGATCCACACAGTGGAGTTGGAGGCCACACAAGAAATATGGACACTGTAGGAGCTGACCTGAAAACATCTCTAGGAAGAGTAAATGAGAAAGGCAAGACGCGCAACAGTGAATGTGGTATGCTTCCTTGTGAAAAAAGCCAGGAAACGGGGGATGAAATGCAGATTTCAGTGCTTTTATTTGCATACAGGAACACTGTAAGCCATAGAAAATCAGGAAAGTGGCTGGATGGACAGGGACATGAGTGATATTTCTGTTTATACCTTTTTATGTCATTGTGATTTAAAAAAAACTTTAAATTTTGAAATACAGATTTATAAAATATTGCAAAAATAGTAGAGATCCTGTGTACCCTTAACCCAGTTTTCTCCAATGATAACATCTTGCATAACTATAGTATAATATCAACCAGGAAATGGACAATCTACAAAGCTTAGATTTCACCAGTTTTACCTGCACTGTCTGTGTGTGTAGTTCCATGCAGCTTGATCACATGTAGATTCATGGGACCAACACCACTATCAAGTACAGAATGGTTCCATCCTCAGGTATCCCTCTGTGCTCCCCCTTTGTAGTCACACCCACCCCTTCCCCTCCTCCACTTACCCCCAACAACCACAGATCTGTTCTCCATCTCTATCATTTTGTCATTTTGAGACTGTCACATAAATGGAATCATACGGTATGTAACTTTTTGAGATTGGCTTTCCCCCCACCTGCTCCCTTGAGATCCATCCAAGTTGTTGCATGTATCAGTAGTTCATTCCTTTTTATTGCTGAGTAGAGTATTCCTTGGTATGGATGTACCAGATTATTTAACCATTTGCCCATTGAAGGACATCTGGGTTGTTTCTACTTGTCTATTACAAATAAAGCTCCTGTGAACCTTTGTGTACATGTTTTTGTGTAGACCTAAGTTTTCATTTCTTCAGGATAAGTGCTCAGGAGTACAGATGCAGGATCACATGGTAAGTGTATCTTTAGTTTTTAAAGAAACTGCCAAAAAATTTTCCATGAATATTGCAAAACTAAGGATGTTACTGTTGAATCTGACCATAAAATCAGCTCACCCGTATTTCTCTAGTCTGACTTAGAGAGTTTTCCTGGGTGAGTGATGTCAGTGTTAAATCCCAAATCTCTCTCCTCCTAGGTGTGGTTCAGATAGTGGAGGTGATACTGAATGGGATGGTTCTCATGTGTATCGTGGCTTCCTACTTTGTCCTTGCTGGATTCAGTGCCAGCTTTACCAGCGGCGGCGGCTTTGGGAACAACTATTACTCACCATTTGAGGGCACTGAGCTGGAGCAGGTTCGGCAGCTGGACCAGCAGTACACTGTCCTGCGGGCACCCCTGATATACGGCGGCGTGGCTGTTTCTCTGGGGCTGGGCGTCCTCACCATGGGTGTTTTACTCCAAGGAGCCAAGAGTCTAAGCAAACTGCCACGGAAGTGGCTCCTGCTGGAGGCTGCCTTCAGCCTCCTGGCAGCAGTGGGCTACTGCATAGGCATTGGCATTTACCTCCATGTAGCCTTGCGGATCAATGCCACGGACACTTGCAAAACAAGACAGAGGCTGTATGCCCGCAAAGGTCTCACCTGGATGAACTGCCAGCTGGCAGGCACGGATGGAGCAGCAGCCACCTTTGCTTGTCTCCTGGTGATCATGTATGGTGCCAGCGTGGTGCTGGCCCTCCGGAGCTACCGGGAGCAGAAGCACTACAAAGACAGCCAAGAACAGCACAGAAATTACAGTGAGGCACCAGAATATCTATGGTCTGGAACACTCTGAGACTTTCTTCTGGAAGCTAAATGTCAACTTATCTCCCTTGCTTCTCTAAAAAAAATAGGCCCTTTAAAATCACTCATTTGACAACTGGGGTTTTCACATACTTGATTTTATAACTGCTCTTCTTGGTTACAGCGCAAAGCTAGATGGTCATCTCATTTTTCTATCAAAAAGTCTTTGCTGGCTGAGAGTTTGAAAAAAATCTCTCCACTTTTGCTACAAAGAACATCAGAAGTTCTGTTCTGACCCTCTTAGGGTCTGACCCTCTTACCAAATGGTAAGGTGATGGTTACAGCTAAGTAGCCACAGAAATTCTGCAAGTTGAGAACTACATTTTAGGGGTAGCAGACCCAATGTTATAGTAGAAATCTCTTACCCGTCTTAACTATTTAAAGTCACCAAAAGTAACATGCCCCTCGTATTTGGCCCCCGGGAATGATTTTAAAGCAGTTGTGTGACTGAATTCTAAACAATTACATTCTGACCCTCTCCTAGAGGGAAACTGTTCTGCCCATAGGGCAGTGTACCATGACTGCCTGGATTCCAAGGAGACTTCTTCCATTAGAGATGGTGAGGCTGGATTTCTCATACATGAAGAGAGATGTTTTAGCATGCATGTTTCTCCCCAGGATGCCTGCATTAGGGCTGAGAGAAAATGTTTTAGGTTTTTTATTTGCCAGCATTCCAAGTTAGTTTCTTTTTTGTTGCAAGTCATTCACTTGTAATTCACTTTCCTGAAATAGTTTATGTTTCTTAAGTATGAAGCTTCCAAGTAGTGATAAATAAAATTTATAAACATCTTAAATGTGTAATAACATTTCAACTATTTCAAAGAGAAAGCACTTAATTTTACTAGACTATAAAGGCTTATTAGGAGGCTTCTTCATTGCTGCATTCTGTGAGTGACAGTGCCCTATAGAGAAGGCCTTTAAAGGTAGATTGGAACCTCTCATGACTCTGGATTGTTTTCATAATGTAACAGATCATTAACACTGAATCTTAAAAATAAAGTTTTTTCAATAATTTTAATCTAAAGTTTTACAGCTGTTCTTATATACAACTGGTCTCAGGTTTTTAGTTTGTGAGGTGCAACTAGAAATATACACATTATAAAGTACAGGCTTTTTCTAGTTGTCCTCTTACTTTTCAATAGCTAATTCTTTTTTTCATATCATGGTTTTATGTTCATAAATGAAACTATTAATAAATTCAAACCAAGTTTTTAGTAATTTCTAATAGCAATTTTGACATAAATCTCAGATTCTCTACTCTATACAGTAAGAAATCAGCAAACATAAACCTGTTTCAACATATGCCAAAAAGACTTAAAAAAAATTGTCAACATCATTTTTCTCTAATGTGTTGGCCATTTTTACCACTGCATGTTTGCTAACTCTTCCCCACCTCCTGCCTCAATTCCTCTCCTCCCTGTAATACATTACCTTTCCTCACTCCTCTGAAATCCTTTCAATAGCTAATTCTTACAGAACCCATCCAAGGCATATGATCAAAACTGAACCTTGTACAGAAATGGGAAATTACCTACATTATACTTTTACAAAAAGTAAATCTTGGAGGGAAACAACCAACTAGAAATCTACACTGCTAGGATAAAATACAAACAGTTGTGCCACAGAAAGTCACTTCCCCTCTATCACCCTCAGCCCCCAACCCTCCAGTTTTCAGAGTGATATACAAGTTTAACAGCAGCAAAAATCAAACAACCCATTCCCCACCCACTCCCCAAAAAGAATAACTCCCCCGACACACTGTTCTAACCTAGCACTATTCCCTGAAACATGTCCCTAGTAGATCTTTGCTCATGTCTGGGTCATGCTTGATAAAATGAGGACTTCAGGGCCGGCCGAGTGGCGTGTTGGTTAAGAGCTGGCTTGGGACGCCAGAGGGCCCTGGTTCGGATCCCACATATGAGGGCCAATGATACTGCCCTCTACAGCTAAGATGCTGAACAACAGCTCAACCTGGAGCTGGGCTGCCCTAAGTCGTCGGTGACAGTGTAGGCTGCAGCCCCTACTTCAGTGGGTTGCCATTGGCTACCGTGTGTAGCCAGCAGCCAGCGTGAGCGGCCCTCAAGCCGCAGTGAGTGGCCGTCCAGAAGCCGGTGACTGATCTGCTGTGCCCGGGAAGAGCACAATGATGGTGCCAACTTGGGCCAGTAAAGCAACGTCCTTCACAACTAGACTGAAGAAAAGGACAGCAACTTGTCTGTTCCCCTCCCCCCAATTCCCCAGCGCTGTTCCCATTCCCCAATTCTCCAATAAAAATCTTTAAAAAAAAAATGAGGACTTCAGCCTGTCTGACCCCACTGTCATGCCTGGGCCCAGTAATAATACTGCTCCCGAGATTCAGCAACTCTCGCGATTGGAGCCCATTGATCACTCATCCCAACACTCCACATCAGCAGTTTCCAACCTCGACTTATCTCTTACCACTTGTTGGGGAGGCAGGTCAAGATTTACTATTCACATTTTACAGATGAGGAGACAAAGGTTCAAGGTTAAAGGGCTTACCCAATAGCTGACATTTCGTTGACTGTTATGTGCCAGTTCCACTAACTGAGCTAAGGAAGCATGTCTGCATCATTTCAGTGAAGCTCACAACTTGAGATCCTGTTATTTCCACTTGACAATCAAGAAGAAAAAAAACCTGAGCCTTGCGTAGGTTAACTTGCCTAAAGTCTAATCTTCTAAGTAGCAGAGGTAAAACTAGGACCCAATGACTAACACACTGGAATGTGTTGTGACTAGATGTACTCTTGTGGCCTTTGGTGTATCAGGGCATTAATATGGTGTACCAGAGAACACGCTTCGAGAATTTCACTTCTGCCCCCCAGAACAGGGAGGTGTGTGTCTCAGGAAAACGAGGTGTTAAAGTAGGTGGTGGCCTTGAGCCCAGCGCACTGAAGGTGGTTAGTCAACAGTTGGTGAACCAAGTTTTCTAAGTGTTCATTTTGCTAGATATGAAGGAAACCAGAAAAATGATTCCAACTTGGCCTTATTTGGAGTGAGAGGCAGCTAATTGTGCTTGCAAGTCTGGAGGTTTGGGAGACAACCAATGTGGGGAGAAGAGGGAAATACTTTAGAGGCTCACCTATTATATTTTGTGGGCCAAAACCCACCATGTCTGAAGTTCTAATACCAAATCCATTACATTACGACAAACATAGTGGCCAGATTGTCCACTTAGCTCCTCTGTCATCATCAGCTCTATATGTTTAAGAGGAGCTGTAGATTGTTTACAATTGAGTTTTCTCTAGTCAGCTAATAACCTGCATGTAAATAAGGACCATGTTTCCTGTCTTTAGGATTTTTTTTAAAAATATAAACCGAGTCAGAATATGATGTTTCTCAAACATAAAAAATCTTTATTGCTATTTCATCTTAAAAGGTGATCAAAAATATTTATTCTGCCCTTAACTCATAACTTTATACAGTGTCATGGAATGTGGCTTCATTTGTTTATCTTCCCCTAAAGCAAGAGAAAGCAGAAAAATACTAATGGTGCTTTTGGTTATGAAACTAATTCTACATACAAGTTAGAGAAAATTACAGTTTCATGCTAAAATAAAGTATTTATAAAATAAAATAATAGGTATTCCATTTTAAAGCAAAGCCATGAAAAAGATATTCCATTTTATTTTATTTATTATTATTGTTATTTTTTACAAACAATAGATTTGCTGCAACATGCTCTGGCTCATATTATTGAATTAAAAAATTTAACACATTTCAAAAATATCAAAAATACACTATAATGAGTCTTAGGACTACAATACGACAATGATTGCACAAAACTGTTAAGATATGAACTCACTGTTTGGATGACATCCACTGGCAACAGTGAGAGAAAACCCTATAGCATCTGGGAGAAGTGCATGAAATTTAGAATACAAGGAGCTTATGTGTGATTGAATGATCACCAAATGAGGGAAACAGCAGGATTTACTGTAGCTGCTTTTCTCAGTCTAGGAAGTGCTCACCCAACTATGGGGCAAAAGTCACTAACTGGAGAGAAAGATTAACTTGCCTCCATGACTGGGGGAGTCTGAAAGGCCCCACCCAGTAAGAAGTAAAAAGTGACACAAGACAGTTCTATAGTGATGCTGCAGACATCACTGAATGGCTTGGAGACTAATTATTTAATAACTGGTACATTTATCAATAACAGCCAAGTGCTCCGTTATGGAGGTCTCTTCATTAATTATGGAGTCGATAGAGAAGGTGAGCCTGTGGCTTCCAAGTACCTGTTTTCACTGAAGGTCTACATGGAAAGAGCATCATTTGATATTCAGTAGATCAGCCAAACCTAACTAACTGGCTCCATCTCCTGAAAAATAGCACTCGCTACAATTATAATAGCACCCAATGATTACCAAGCTGCTTGTGTTGGCTCTTCTATACACCAGGAAAATGAACTCATCGACTTATTGCACACGTACACTCTACAGTAGTATAATAAAGCCTTCACTTATGTTAGGAGTGGTAATTCAATGATTATGGTAGCACTGTTGCTTTATGATATTACAACATTCAAAATTTCAAATATATTCCCAATCCATTTGGATAAAAATAATACCATGGCTGCCAAGACGCATGTATTTTTCTTTCTTCCATGGGACTGCTGAACTGCTCCCATAAGCAGGAGAGATTCTTTCAGAAATTCTTCCACTTTTCTATTGAATGGGAGGTACACACAGACACCTGAGAATCATGCAGAGGCCAGAATCTCTGGGCTAGAGATCAGTGGTACTCTGCCCACCTGGGGAACACATCCTCTGGGTAAAGTCCTAGGAAGTAGGTTACATTCACCTGGAGACAGATTACTGGCTTTCACCACCTGACAGTCTAATTAGATCATACAATGACTGTGTAAATGACCTCATAGGTCAAAAGATTCTGTATATTTTTGGTAATGGGCTATGGCCTTTTTACCTTCTGTTTTAATACAGAGCAATTATAGAGGAAGATGAATGAAAGGAAGTTACAAAAAAATAATTAGTTTGGGTATAGCCTATAGTAAAGGTTTGCAATACAACCTCGTGTTTCCTGAAAAATCTACCACATAGAAGAACGTTCAAAATTTTAGAGTTCCTCTGACTGAAAAGTAACTACATTTACTTTTGGTAAAGTAATTTCAGAAGTAGGTTTTGTGGTGGTCAATAAGTAGGATGGGTAACAAAGAGAAGACAAGAAGAGGGTTCACAGATACAGGACAATTTTTAAGAGACTATACTACTAAAGTGGTATATTCCCAAAACAACTTTCTTTTCTAGACAATATCACTATTCTATAACTGAAAGGTTCTGTCTGGGTGGAAAGATGTTTTATGTCACCCATCACTATTATCTTAGGTGTTTCCTTCATTTTCATTTCCCCATATAAAAATAAGGCAACACACTATTGTTCCCATCTTTCTAACAGCACCTAAAACTTTGTATGAACCACTGTGTTCCCCACTTCCAATCAAGACCTGAGTTCTAAAATTCTGCAATAGCTGACCAGTAGTTTGACATAGGGAAGTCAAGTGTTCCTGGCAATTTGGAGACTCAAATTCGGACTCTTGAGGGGTTGAACAATATACAGCCATTGGAGTGGTATAGAATCCTCTAAGAGTGCACTCCACTGAAACATGCACATGGAGAAGGGGCCTCTGAAAAGATGAAGATACATAGCCATTTGTGGACAGGTCATCTGGTTTTCTACTATTGCTTTAAAAAATGTCTATTACGTTGTTTTGTACATCTGAAACTAATAAATAAAAAAATAAAATTAAAAAAAAACACTTCAAAAAACCCCTATATATGTGTATATCAACCTTATCTTTAACCTTTTGTTTCTTATGAAACAAATTAAAAATGGTCCCACTCTATTTTCTTTTTAATTGTGAAAGTATTCTAGAAATTCAAAGCACACTCCCCATTGGGTAAAATCAAGCAATGTCAAAATTTGTCGGAATAAATAGGAACTCATTTTCCTAAGTAAATCTTCTAATGGAAAAGGCAACAGAACAGAAATATGGAAGGAACTACATTTTGCTAGGGTTACATGGAATGTGCAAAAAATATAGTAAACCAGGTTTTCTGTAAGCTTAGGACTTTTCTCAATTAAGTCTTTCTTATATTAGTCATTGAGCCCAGTACTCTGAAACCATGTGAGGTGGATAAGCAGTTTTCAGAAGAGTACTCTGTTAAACATTAAAGAGGTGAACTCGTGACATTTTAGAAAAGTACCCTCTATTCTACAGAAGGAACCTGTCGAAATGTGAGCTCTACCCACCCTTCTGTTCTTATTCAGCCTCAGTCTGTTCAGGGCCATCTGCTGTAACTCAAGGTTACTTGGACTTCAGTGGCATCAGCCTTGGCCCTACATACTAGGAGACTGACTGCCACCTCCATCACATGTTATGGAAAGAGGCTAATCCCCAAATGTCTCCCTTGTGATCCGCTGGGAAATGTCTAGCAGTTGTCACTTTTGTCAAGTTCTTCTCTTTTTGTGATTTGGGGGGAAGTAGTCTTAGTCCTCACTCCTTTTCCATCTTCATCCCCAAAAGAAGAGCCTACTGTCCCAAAGGAGCTTTCACAGTCTGACATGCACCTGTCAAATCCATTTCCCAGGGCCCTTCCTAGTACCCTCGTAGAAGGCTCCAACAGCTGATGATCACTCTGCCTATGGACAAAGGTGCTGGGCTGCCTCAAAAGAGATTGGCTCGAGTGCAGATTCAAAAATAAAAACTTCACAGTCAATGAAAAGTGCTCTCATTACATTACATTACATTACATTACATACATAAATTATCTGTTTGATTGGTTCTACATTTCCAATAAACGTCATTTCGATAGGCTGTATTCTCGTAGAGAAGAATGAAAAGCCATGTGACTAGTCACATCACATCCCATCAGTTAGGTTGAGATATAAGGTGATTTCTCTGTCAAAGAGATCCATCAGCAGCAATCAGTAAAAGGAATCATCTTCAGTTACTTCCTCCACAGAAATAGTCCCTTTCCTGCCCAGGCAGGCAAATTCTCAAAATTATCCTAGGAGAGAAAGGGTTAATGGCAGGTGGTAGGACGGATACAGAGAACATCTGCTTTCTTCCCAGTAACTCTGGGAATTCCAATGCAGGTTAAATGTGAAGCTTAACACTGATGGTGTTGACTAGCTTATCCAGAACGAGACCCTGATAGCTCTCATCGTTTTTGGCTCCAAGTTCTACCCCCCTCATCTATGGTTTAGAAATGCAGAGGGAAAATGCCTCTGGAAGGGCCCCCCACCTTGACACAACACGGCCTTCCCGAATGTGGGGGGGACCCTGGGGGAGGATTACAGTGCTGTGTCAAACTCCTCCGGGAGCTCGGTCCGATCCTCTTCAGTGGGCTCAGGCTCAGGCCTGCTTTCCTGGTGGTGCTTCATTTGCTCCTTGACTTCTTCTTCTAGGTCACGAGGTACAACAAACTGATCCTCTGGCTCCAGCTGAGTGGGGGCAGCAAAATAGCCAGTTTTCTTCTTGGGTGCTTCTGTGGCCACTTCAATAAGGTTCAGGCTATCTTCTAGGGGCACAATAGAGCCATTAGAGAGTTTCTTTCCATAGAGACAGGAAGTGGAGGGAGACTTCTGTAACTCCATCCTGTCCTTGCTCAATGGCAGAAGTATACCACTATTCACACTGTTCTGTCTTCGGATCCCAAAAAATAATCCTCTCACATGTTCCTCTGGACATGGGGCAGGAAAATTCTCTGTGGGAGTGGGCGAGTTCTCAAGGTCCCTTCCCCTACAGCAGTGGATATCTACTTCTACTTCTACCTTGCTGCCATTTGTTATGACCCCTTCAACGGGCTGGTCATCATCACTGTCCAGACCATTGTCAGACTGGTTACTTGAGAAAGTCGCACAAGAAGGCTGGCGCTGGAAAACCCCAGAGGTGGGTGTTGGATGGAGGCTGCAGCGCCTCTCTGGTCTTGGAAGCAAGCCCGCATCCAGGCCAACAGTGTTATGTTCATCAGAAGCAGTGGATCCCACCTCACTGCTCACCTCTGAGGTGGACATCTCGCTGCTGAACTCAGAGGCAATCCCACTACTGGAGGAAGGAGTGGTGGGCTTGGGAGGGTCCTTGATGGTGGAGGTTGAAGCAAATCCTACAGTACCTGGAAGGCTCAGCCCATTCATCTCACAAGTGCAGCCTTCCTCACCAATGTTCAAATAAACCACCATCGCCCCCACATTGTCCTGACAACCATAGCTTTGGGCTAATGTGCACAGCTTCTTGGCAGCTGCTAATGGGTCTTGTACATGGCGTACTGCATTGACAGCTTCTGTATAAGACAAGTGTTCCCACAATGCTTTGTTTCCCAGAATCAGCAACTCATCTTGAATGGTAAGTGTTGTGGAAGATATGTGGGGCTTGGGGAGGATCCAAGGGTAGAGGTATGTACAGCCCAGCATCCGGGTACAGCAGGTCACCCCATTCACTTTGTTATCCTAGAGGCAGAATGCAAATTTTGAGAAAAATGCAACAGTGACATGTAGTTTATATCTTTCTAGATTACGATGCTTAGGGCTCTACAATAAAACAGAACTGATATGTTATATGTTTTTTCCTAGGATCTGCTTCATTTTAAATAGACTTACAAAAATAAATGTATAGAATTTTAAAAGGACAAAATACCATATGGTTATTATACCAAATAGTTCCAACAACTGGAGTTAAAACCAATTAAAATTAAGTGGTTAAAAGGCACCTCCGGGCCGGCCGAGTGGCGCATTGGTTAAAAGCTGGCTTGGGACGCCAGAGGGCCCCGGTTCGGATCCCACATATGAGGGCCAGTGACACTGCCCTCTACAGCTAAGATGCTGAACAACAGCTCAACCTGGAGCTGGGCTGCCCTGAGTCACCAGCGATGGCGTAGGCCGCAGCCCCTGCTGCAGTGGGTTGCCATGGGCTACTGTGTGTAGCCAACAGCCAGCGTGAGCGGCCAGCAGCCGCAAGGAGCAGCTGTCCAGAAGCTGGCGAATGATCTGCCTCGCCCGGGAAGAGCGCAATGATGGTGCCAACTTGGGCCAGTGAAGCAACGTCCTCCACAACTGGACTGAAGAACAAAACGACAGCAGCTTGTCTGTTCCCCTTCCCCCAATTCCCCAGCGCTGTTGCCATCCCCCAATTCCCCAATTAAAAAAAAATCTTAAAAAAAAAGGCACCTCCATCTCAAAAGATATTTGCTCTAACATAAAGTACAGCCCCTCAGCATGTCCTTAAATAGAGAAACACCTGTTAGAAAAATAAGCAGAACTGTCACTAATTCACCACTAATATTCTCAGAGAGGCTAAACCTCAGATGGGTCACTAAAAGTGATTTCTCATTTAAATAAAGGCACAGTTGGGACTGAAGAGAATCAAAAAAATATTAAATGGCTAAGAGAATCTTTGTAGCTAAAGCATTAACTAATCGCTAAAGTTATTTAGCCTAGAAAAGTCTGAATTGTGTAGCATAATTGACCTACTCTGTAAGGATTGTATTAAGAATGAATAGCAGATCAAGTCACAACTGATGTAATTCTAAACTTAGAGGAAAAGGAATAACCCCAGTTATAGATTGGGAATGTTCATCTGCCAGAATACTTTATACTGACTTCTTTTCAACATAAAACCAACAAAACCTCTCTCTAAAGCCATCAATGTATTTATTTCATTGTTGCAGTTATTCTCTGAGTAAAAATCTTGGCTCTCTCCTTTATAAGAATTTGTCACAAACTCTGAATTTTATTTTCCTCAGCTGTAAAATGGAAATAAAGGCACTTAACTCATGGAGAATATTGTGAAGATTAAATAAAATAATGAAATTACAGTGCTTAGCAAATAAGCAAACAATAAATGTCTGTGGTTAAAATAACATTTATAAACATATTTCCTACTTGTCTAGAACTCCCCTGAAGAAAAATCAAAACACTATCTAAATTCTGTAAAAAACAGACTAATGAAACAAAAAGGTATCTTTTTTTATCTTTCATTTGTTTAGACTGAAAGACTTTCTTAAGACTATTGCCTCATAATTCCAGAATCTTCATGGTATCAACCATCTTATAATGGTATTTTTGGTTTTGTGCTTCCTTCGATAAAATCTAATATGGACAGTCCTTATATAGAATTCTGACAGGACAGCCCAGAAATGGACCCACACTAATACAGTCCAGTGATCTTTGGCAAAGCAGCAAAGGCAATTCAATGGAGAAGCAAGTGCTGCTGGAACAAGTGGACGTTCACGTGCAAAAAGGAGAAAAAGAAATGTAGACACAGAGCTTACACCTTTCACACAAATTAATTCAAAATAGATCAAATACAAAACATGAAACTTCTAGAAGATAACACAGAAGAAAATCTAGGTGACCTTGGGCTTGGCAATAAGTTTTTGATACAACACCAAAAGCACAACCCATGAAAGAAAAAAATTCAGTGGGACTTCCTTAAAACTAAAAACTTCTGCTCTGCAAAAGACACTATTAAAAGAATGAAAAGACCTTCCATAGACCGGGAGAAAATACTTCTAAAACACTTATCTGAGGGCCGGTGGAGTGGCACATTGGTTAAGAGCTGGTTTAGGATGCCAGAGGGCCCCGGTACGAATCCCACATATAAGGGCCAGTAACACTGCCCTCTACAGCTAAGATGCTGAACAACAGCTTAACCTGGAGCTGGGCTGCCGTGAGTCGCTGGCCACAGCGCAGGCTGCAGCCACTGCTGCAGTGGGTTGCCATGGGCTACCATGTGTAGCCAGTAGCCAGCGGGAGCGGCTAGCAGCCGCTGTGAGTGGCCGTCCAGAAGCCGGCGCCTGATCTGCCTCACCTGGGAAGAGCGCAATGATGGTGCCAACTTGGGCCAGTGAAGCAACGTCCTTCACAACTAGACTGAAGAACAAAAAGGATAGCAACTTGTCTGTTCCCCTACCCCAATTCCCCAATAAAAAATCTTAAAAAAAAAACCACTTATCTGATAAGGACTTATTCCCGAAATTCACAAAGAATTTTTCAAACTCAACCATAAAAAACCAATTCAATTAAAAATGGGCAAAAAAAGATCTGAATAGAATTCTCCTTTGCAGTGAACAATGTTCACATGTAATTGCTAAAGTCTCTTGGAAAGTGTCAAGTGATGCTAATTTCTAAATCAGGAGGAAAAGCTATAGAATAGTAAATACTGATGCGTCATTATAAAAAATAAACAACAAAAAACCCACCAGAGCATATTAAGCCATGTACGATACAAACAGAAAAAATATTTGGAAAGTTTGCATTTCAGAAGAAGGATGTCAAATTATAGAACTTTTTTCTTCTGTTTGGAAATTAACCAAAGGGGGGACATTTACATTCATTTTCCACACTAGCTATACATCTAAAGGATCACAAATTAGAATTTTTTTTCTTTCTAATTAATTTGCCTTTTCTTTTTGCTAGTCATTAACTGCTCACTAGATTTTCTTCTAGTACCATTATCTGGCTTGGATACAATTTACAAGGTTTTATAGGAAGAAAATGGACCTCCACTGCCTCTGTGCAGAACACAGCATTCCCTAGACTTGGGGAGTAGAAGTAACTGGCAGAGAGCAACATTTACCTCTGTTATAATGGCTTTTTGGTCCTTCACCCTTTGAGCCTCCTCCGCATCCTGTTCCAGGCTGAAGACTTTAGAGAGGGGCACTGGTTTCCCACCTCGGCACAAGACTGCTTGGCAAGTGCCAACATTGGCCACAGTCAAGCTAAAACTACTTGTTGCATCGGCAGTGTCAGGGCGGATGTAACAAAGGAGAGCAGAGGAGCCCAGCTTCTGACCAGCCATGCCTAATTTCCTGTTTAGAAAGAAAATGAAGACATGGTACTAGTTTTAGAAAAGTGGTGGTCCTCCACGTCTGTAATTTCCTTGTTTTCCTGCCATGTGACTGTGAACCAGCCTCACCTTCAAGATGATAGTGAAGAGAGTTCTGCCTTCCACTCTAAGCTGACTGACAAAAGGAGTTTTACATAAAAGGGTAGGGTAGGGGAGACAGTGAAAGTATATCTTCTCTGATCATAGACTACAATGGCCTAATTCAGTGGTTTCAACTTTAGAGCATGAGAATCACCTATAGGGCTTGTTAAAACACAGACTGCTGGGCCCTACTCCCCGAGTTTCTGATTCAGTGGTAATGGGCTGGCCCAATAATCTGCATTTCTAACAAGTTTCCAGTGATGCTGAGGCTGTTGGACCTAGAACAACACATTGAGAAGCACTCACTTAGATTATAAGTTCCTTGGAGGAAGGACCATAATTTTCCTTGTATTTCTCTCATACACATGGCATCCATCCCCCAGCATTTGGTACACGCCAGTTAGCAGAGCAGATACTATCAAAAAGATCTAGTTTCAAACTCCAGCTCTGCTATTTACTGGCTGTAAATCCTCAGCAAGTTATTTTTCTGAGAAATTTTTCTGATAAAATACCCACTTCTTTGCTTAATTTGAAAATTAATGATACAGTATGAGAAATGCTTGGTATAGTGCCCAGCTCTTGGGAGGTACTTCATAAACTGAGTTCTCTTTCCCAAGTCCTTTATTTTGCCAAGTTCCTAACTCAATTCTATTACTGAAAAAAAAGGACTCCTTTCCCAACCTCTTTGCTTTGTTATAATGAGAGCGAAAACCAGCTCGGGCTCCAAGCTGTTCCATTTCAACCTTGATTATTCAAATTTACAACCTCTCAGTTGTGCATATCCTTTATGCAGCCCACCTGATGTGCAAGATGCTCCATTAGCTACTAAAATTTTCAATAATTTGGTTATATAGTGTCTTTGCCCTTAAGTGGCTTAGAAGATTGGTTGGTAAATCCCAGTAAGTACTCTAAATACACGAATCTGATCAGTGCTTAACCTTTTGTAGGTCACTGACTCTGGAGGATCTTATAAAAAGCTTTCCATATTCCTTCCCCCAAATGTACAAATGCATATATACACACACAACCTTCTGCACATGATTTCTGGGCTTTCCAGATCCTCAACAGCCTTTGAGTATAATAGAAAAAACAAAATGGCCCCACAGGCTCTTTAAAGAACCCAAGTCCCCACATTCCACACTGTTACAGGAGAGAACAGTCATGGCAGAAGGAGCAAAGTCTCACCTTGATCCTGTACCTATAATTTAGATCCTGACCTTTTAGCTTAGTGAGATTTATTTTCCGAAAGTATTGGGTTGTCGGAAAAGTCATGACACATTTTTGCAACGAAAAACATAGAAAAAAATACATCATGACTTTTCCAACAATCCAACAGTACTGAGTTAGGGATTGATTATTCAACCCACCTGCTTACCTGTGAGATACCAAGAAGGTATTAGCCATGAAAACTGTGTCATGAGTCGACTGCTGTACCTCCTCCAAAAGAACATCTGCCATGGTACACTGCAGTAGGCGAGGGAGCTCCTCATTTCGGTCCCCGTCAAACATGCCATACACAGCTCCCACCCCCTCTGCAAAGTTATCCACGGCTAGAGCTGATACACACAGCCTACCACAGAAATAGGAAAAAGACAAACACCAAAGAAAGTTATTGGTAAAAGCATTATTTTCCGGGGAGCCTTCTTTAAAAAAGTATTGAGGGTGGAGAAGAATTGTAGTAAATCTTAATCTACACATGAAAAAAGTGTTAGATAATTAAGCAGCATTTAAAAGAGTTGATGTCATAAGAAATGAGGAAATTCAGCCACATTTATGGGCAGTACATACTAGCTTTGCAATTTTACCAAAAGCTGGAAAGATTAAATGTTTTCTCTTAGTAGTGATTAAAGCCTAGTATTGTCAAACGCCTTCAGCTAACGACCCCCAGGATCACACCTGTGGTTGAATAACTTGGGTTTGTTATGCATGCAGCAAGGGAGAAGGCCATGGAACTCTGGGGTGTATAGGTAAAAGGGGGTTGCAAAAACATGGTATAGGATATGAGCTTTGGTTTGGTCATTTTGGGGAAGGTATAAAGAAAAGGGCGATCATACTAGTTGGGTGCTGTCGGAAAGCAGGGTCATTCCATAGTTGAGTATGTCAATAAATCTTATCTATAGGGAAAGGTTAGTATGAGGATAAAGCTATAATTGGTACAGAAAGTAGCAGTCACCCATTTTAGCCAGGCAAGAGAGTGTCTGGTATTCTGTGGCCTGTGCATTCATCTTATTTTTTCTCATTGGATCATGGTCTCAGAGGGATATTATCTGATGTTGGCATTCTGATTTGTTTATGTCCAACAGGAGAACCTGGCCTGGATTTCAGCACCAGATCAGTTCCCAGATGTCAAGAGCTGCTATTTTTCTTTCTCAGTCTCCATGGCCAAGATACTCACTTATTTCTCTGCCCTGCCATCTCAGCCAGTCCATGGCTCCAGAAGGTTGATGTAACTGTAGAATCAGTGGTTGGCAAAGGTTTCTGATCAATTTTCAGGGTTGTGATATGGCTGTGCAAAGGATAAAATGGGAAGATTAAACCATACATGCTTCTGTATTTTACAAAACCTATCTCAACAATAACATATTTTTATAAAATAATCTGTTGACAGAGCAAGATTCATTTCCAGAGAGACTAACTGGCTGTAGTGTGCTAGCCCACAGGTCAAGGAGGAGAGAAAAAGGAAAGGGGTAAGAGGAAGAAATAGGGGCCTAATATCATTACAATTGATACCATTCATTTCAATAAAAACTAAGCACAACAAAGATTTTTAAGTTTTAGCCAATTGTCTACTTATTTTAAGTATTTTGATACAATGAAGTCTTGGTACAATGAGTGAGCTTGCATTGTCTCTTAGATGTTGTAATGTAATGTGATCTGTGCCATCTAAAATATCTATGCCTGCCATGTAAAGATACTCGGGGGTGGGTGAGCAGTCATCATGATGTTGAATTCTAACATAAATGGACTAACCACCGGATAGAACATCCATAACTGAATCAAAGAATAGAACCGAGGGGCTTTATGGCTTCATTCATTGTATTCCTTTAAATAAATGAGGTCTCCACAGTCCTTATGAAGACCCACATAGGGCTGGTGGGACTAAGAACACATGAGGTTCAATTTCAAAATTTTTCATACCTAAATGTGTCCAGTGTCTTATGTTCCAGAACCAGATTTGTATTTCCAGTCAGGTCAAGGTCTTGTAACGTAGCAGGCAGAGCCTCTGGAATCAGGATTTCTGTCAGGTCATTGCAACTTAGGTCTACAAACTGAGAGGAAAATGGAGAAATCAAAAGAAAATACATCATAGGTAGTTAGTTCTTAACTCCCTAATGCTCAATCTCCTACTATATCCTCCAAAGGAACTTAATTTGTTCCCATGATCAACTAAAATATATTGTGATCTCAGACTGCCAGTTCCTTCTTCCTTATGAGAAGGGATCAACCTTATTCACATCCCTGCCATTTCCTCCTGTTGGGACATCATTCCAACACATATAGTACCTGGATCTGAGGCAACTGCAGTATTTCCGGGAAAATGCTGATGTTGTTGGAGTGTGCAACAAGGGTGTGCAGCCTTTTGCAGTTCGCTATGGTCGTGGGAATGGTTTTAAGCTTGTTGCCACTTAAGTTCAGTTCCTCCAATTGCTCCAATTTATTTAGTTTGCTGAAAAAGAAACACCAAAATACCACACTGCACCCACAATGAACTACTGCAAAGCAAGTTTAATAGCAGCCAGAATACAAAGGCGCCTGGTTTACTGCCAGATGACAAGTCATAATGAAATAATCAGACACCAGTAAAGGGCTCACCAAGGTGACTGCTCCTGCTGAATCATATGTGTGTACATATATATACATAATTTCATTCAAATTATACCAAACAATTCCCTATTTTCTTAGTTTTTAGAAACATGATTTTTAATGACTTTCATGATGTAGACAAATTTTTCTGTTATGAAAATTTTTTTTTTATCAAATATATTTTGGAAGATACTTATTACTCCATTGACGCTGTTTAAAACTTTGACCATGGGGTGGCTGGTTGGCTCAGGTGGTTAAAGTGCAGCGCGCTGGTTCGATCCCGATATGGGCCGCTGAGCTGCGGCCTCCACAACTATGAATGAAACAACTACCCGACTTGGAGCAGATAGGCCCTGGAAAAACACACTGTTCCCCAATAAAATAAAGTTAAAAAAAAAACAAACCAAAACTTTGACCTCCTTAATTGTCCCCTTACAGGTGTAGCCTGGCTACATTACATTTCTTCCTCCAGGAAGGCCAACCCAACCCACAGGTTCTGTGCAATACAGCCAGCTACTTTGGCATATCGTTAGCATCTTGCACTTATTACACTGCACTGCAATTGCGTATATACTTGTCTGTTTCCCCAACTGGACTGTAAGTACCTTGAAGATAGACACTGTAAGTTAATCATCAATGTTTACCCAGTACTTACACAGGTACTTGGCCACAGTAGGCATTCAATATATACAGTTGACCCTTGAACAAAATGGGTTTGAACTGTGCAGGTCCACTTATACATGGTCTATTTTTTTTTTTTTTTAAGATTTTTATTGGGGAATTGGGGGGATGGGAACAGTGCTGGGGAATTGGGGGAAGGGGAACAGACAAGTTGCTGTCGTTTTGTTCTTCAATCTAGTTGTGGAGGATGTTGCTTCACTGGCCCAAGTTGGCACCATCATTGCACTCTTCTCTGGCGAGGCAGATCAGTCGCCGGCTTCTGGATGGCCGCTCACTGCGGCTGCTGGCCGCTCACGCTGGCTGCTGGCCACACACGGTAGCCCATGGCAACCCACTGCCACAGGGGCTGCAGCCTACGCCGGCGCAGGCGACTCACCGCAGCCCAGCTCTAGGTTGAGCTGTAGTTCAGCATCTTAGCTGTGGAGGGCAGTGTCACTGGCCTTCATATGTGGGATCTGAACTGGGGCCCTCTGACGTCCCAAGCCAGTTCTTAACCATCGCGCCACTCGGCCGGCCCACAGACTATTTTTTTTTTTTTTAAGATTTTTATTGGGGAATTGGGGGGATGGGAACAGTGCTGGGGAATTGGGGGAAGGAGAACAGACAAGTTGCTGTCGTTTTGTTCTTCAATCTAGTTGTGGAGGATGTTGCTTCACTGGCCCAAGTTGGCACCATCATTGTGCTCTTCCTGGGCGAGGCAGATCAGTCGCCGGCTTCTGGATGGCCGCTCACGGCGGCTGCTGGCCGCTCACGCTGGCTGCTGGCCACATCCGGTAGCCCATGGCAACCCACTGCCACAGGGACTGCAGCCCACGCCGTCGCAGGCGACTCACCGCAGCCCAGCTCTAGGTTGAGCTGTAGTTCAGCATCTTAGCTGTAGAGGGCAGTGTCACTGGCCCTCATATGTGGGATCCGAACCGGGGCCCTCTGGCATCCCAAGCGAGTTCTTAACCATCGCGCCACTCGGCCGGCCCACAGACTATTTTTTTAATGAATACAGTTGGTCCTTTCTATCCACAGGTTTCGCATCTGCAGATTCAACCAATGGTGGATTGAAGACAGTATTTTTGCATTCCCAATCAGTTTCCCAACCGCTGATCGATTTTCAATCCACAGTTGGTTGAATCCACATATGTGAAGGGCTGAATGTGGAGTCAGAAGTTATATGTGGATTTTCAGTTGCATGGGGATTGGTGCCCCTAACCTCCACGTTGTTCAAGAGTCAACTGTATATAATGAATAAATTAATGGACTCAACAGTTTTTAATAAAAGAGTGCTGACAAGAGAATAGAAAAAACTGTCTTCAGAATTTCTTTATAAGCCTGTACTTTCGTAGACTGAAAATTCTCAGATCATTCACTATTAAGTAATTAGAACTCAGAATTAAACACATTTTAACTACTTCTCTCATTACTGATACTTAACAACTGGGTACAAACAGATTTTCCCATTAAACTAATGGAATCAAAGCATCAGTAAGTCACTCAATATAAAGCAAGAGAACCCAGGAAGATAGGTGCACTGTAGGTTGACAAATGAAGAATTCGTGTTATTTGTCTGAAATGACCAGTATGAATTAGCTTACCTTGCAGGAAAAGTCTGTAGCTGGTTGTTTGCTAGATGCAAGATTCGCAGGTGCGGATGCCCCACCAGGACGGGCACACACTGATCAGTCAGGAGGTTGTTGGTCAGATAGAGCAGCTGCAGGGCACTCAGGCTCTCCTCCCCTGCGCAAGCAGATGGCAAAGACTCCAGACTATTTGCGGATGCATTCAAGTATCTGAGACTGACAGAATACATACAAGTCATCATTTCCTTCATGGTTATTTGTAGCCTTCTTATGTAGAAACTACTATGCCATCTTGGTAGGGAAAACTGCCATTCCATGGTCCCAATTCTACAAATTACAAAAGTAACTTCCTCCAGGTAGTTTTCTCTGAAGTGATTCTAAACAAGCAAAGTTCCTTTTACTCAACTCATGCAAGCCAAAGAGAGAGGAAAGAATACAGGCTTGGTTGTAGTCCCAGGCTTTTGTAGTGGCCTGATTCTACCCTAGCTTCATTATTTAGTGTCCCCCAAAAGAATGCTGTTGAGTATCATGGTTCACAAACATCTCAACTGTAAAGACACCCTCCACAAAAATTTTTGTCTGACTTCAACAGCATCATATTTATTCAGCCCAACCCATTATAATACCCTAATAATGGACATATAGGCTGTTTCTGTATTTGCCATTATAGGCATTGTAATAAACACCTCTGTGTCCTTATCCAATTATTTGTTTAGGCTACATTCCCAGAAGCAGAATTTGTGGGGTCAAAGGATACACATAACTTTAAGATTTACATATATATATGTCTCCAAACTGAGCTCCAGAAAAGCTATATCAAATTATACGTATTAATAGATATATGTATGTATGTGTGTGTGTGTGTGTGTGTGTGTGTGTGTGTATATATATATATATATATATATATATATATATATATATATAATTTAATTATACACAAGAAGGATATAAGAATGCCAAAGGTGCGGTCACACCTTTGTCAACACTGAGTATCATAATTCATTTTAATCTCTGCCAATCTAACTAACATGCCATGATTTTAAAAATTTTCTTAGCATGGTGTCTGATATATACAGAGAACATGCTCAATAAAAAGCAGCTACTATTATTAGACACGTTGTGCGTTCTTACGTCTTCTCCATTTTGTGTGATCTACATCCCTAGTTAGCTTTTAAGCTATTGAGGGTACTGTGTGTCTGTGTCTTTGTATGTCCCAGAAGTGCTGTGTGAAGAGTTAGTATTAAGTAAGTATCACGGACAGTTTGCTACAGTTGCTAAGTAACTTACTTTCTACAGATTCTAAGGTTGTAATTTTATTCAAACTGTCATTAGAATTAAATGCAGTGTTATGCATTACTAACAAATACCTGTTAATTAACAAATGTTACTGCATTAAGACTCCATATAATCTTTCCAAAAAAAAAAAATCTCCTTCAAATATTTTTTACAATTTCCAAAGATTTTATTTTTAGGAAAGTCCAACCAGGTGTATTATATGTTAAGAGAGTATACGCTGACAAAGAACAAGACACACTGGTGTGCTAAATGCTTTTGTATGTCTTCTGTAGCCTTATGTTAAATCACTACTGCTTATCTCTGTTTTTTTCCATTTCTAAACTGAAGACAACATTGCCTTATCCATATTGCAGAAGAGAAGTAGTTTAAAATGAAAACTAGTTTTCTTTTTATGGTGATGTATCTATGAGATAAACCTGATTTCGGGTATTAAAATATGAAGACATTATCAATCTATTGATAATTTAAATGAGAAAGCAAAGAACACCTTTTGAAACAATGTTACCTTTAAATGCAGTTTTCAAAGTAGGTAGTAAAAAAGTGCTGCAAATAGAGAATGAGGGGGCCGGCCGAGTGGCTCAGTTGGTTAAGAGCGCGCTCAAGAGTTTGAGCTCTGAGCAACAGTGGTTCGATGCCCGGCCCGAGCTGAGCTGCCTCTAAGCTACCAATAGGTAGCAGGATGGCTCAGCTTAAAAAAAAAAAAAGAGAGAATGAAACTTAATGATAGCTTGGTAAAGCTAGAAGCAGAAACTAAAATAACTTTAGTGGTATGTCCTTTTCTCCTAAAAGCTGAAAATTGCAAAGGAAGCTGTATCATAATGCTGTAATTGCTCTTGAAAGGTCATAATTGAATTCGTTTTCTGAAAGTCTGAACCGTCCCCAACTGTTTGAAATTGTTTACAACACTAAAACTTAAGTATTTGATGGTTATTTCAACTTTGAGTTAAAGATTACTGCTTCATAAAACAGTGTCATATTTTATTTCACAGATTTTGCAAATAAGTCTCCACCCATAGCTGGATTATGAGGTAAACACTATAAATATAGTTCCAAAGGTCACCCCAATGACAAGTCAGTGCAGTTTGTTTAGCCAATGATTCTGCTCTTCTAAATAAAATGTATGGTACTTACTTTAAGGCCTTGGAGAAGAGGGTATCTGGCAGCCTGGTAAGTAGGTTATGCTGAATATCCAACACCTCAAGAGGGATGTGCTCCACCAGCACTGGAAGGTTTTGCACATGATTGTGTCCCACCATCAGTTTTCTAAGACTCAAGCTACTAAGGATTCTGGGGGGGGGGGGGGGGGGGGAATGACACACACAGTACAAAGAAACAAATAAAAAACTTACTTAAATCTTTATTTCTGAGTCTGCCCTTGGCTATTTAAGTGAAATCAGTAAATGAACTGAAACACACTCTTCTAGACAGTATGATCATGGTCAAGTGCCTGAGCCAAGAAAGCAGCTACAGCCATATGTTTACCCACCACCCACCAGAAAGTCATTAAGGTCATTCTGGGAGAAGGCGAATTAATGAAAGCAAATAGCACAGAACAAATCTAAACAACGACAATAAAACAAAAATAAAACACAATTAAAAAAACCAATTCCTAGAATAAATCAATTCAGATTTTAAGTCTAGACAGCACCAAAAATTCAGTGAATCTATTAATATAATTGACTATAATAAATTAATAACAAAACTCATTATAACAAAACTACTATTTATTCAGTGCTAAAAATGTGCTAGGCAATTTAACTATGAAATTCAGAAGAGATAATGACTTTGAGATTTGCCAAAGATCTCATATTGAATGTAATAAATGGCACAGTCAGGATATGAACTAAGTTCCGACTCCAAAGATAGGGATCATACCTACTGGGCTACAAAGCTTCTAGTTTAATTTTAAAGATGCCACTAGGTCATAACCACAGATTTTACACCTCAGTGCTTTTGAATATACCATTTACATCTCTCTTTCTCCCTCCACATACAGATATCCCACAATCTTTAAAGGTCAACTCAAATAATGCATTCTCCATGAAGCATTCTCTGATTATTCAAAGTTCTGAATTTCTAAAATATTTTATTCACACAGTATAGTGATGAAGAGTGAAGACTTTGGAGTAAGAATGACTACATTCAAGTGTCAGCTCCTATCACTTCCTGGTTAAGGGCGACCTTGGTCAAGTTACCTAGCCATTCCAAGCTTTAGTTTTCCTCATCTGTAAGATGAGGATAACAGTACCTATATAATTAGGCTGTCAAAGGATTAAATAAGATAATAAAAGCGAAGGTCTCAGAACATTGTCCAGCTCATAATAAGTTACCTTATAAAAATTATCTACTACTATAGTATCTTATCACCAACCTATGCCAGCAACTCTTGTTACATTTTATCAGTTATCTGTGCATTAGTCCCCTCAGCTATCTCCTTACTAAGTTCCTTGGAGTCGAGACTATGCATTCACCATTACGTGTTCCTCACAGCACTTCACACTGCCCTGCACTCAGCAGTTACTCAGCATTTACTGAACAAATGAATGAAAGTACCTATGAAAGGCCACCCCAATTTAGGAAAATAATTAAATACATGCATACAAACATATATATTAATGCATACATACATAAATAATAACACATTAACACACACTTACCTCATAGGAACCTCTGTCAGAAGATTATAGCTCACATCTAATATTTCTAGCTTCTTTGCTTCACAGGCCCAGTCAGGGACATATTCCAGCAGGTTTCTGTAGAAAATAATGAAAAGTCATCATTTAAAATGATGAGTGGAACTCATTTCACTCTCTGTAATACATCTGTTAACTGGTCTCTGAGCCCCTTCATGGCAGCAGCACTAACCCCAAGGCATTCTTGGTATACTACCTGGAATACAGTAGGTGCTCAAAGAATGTTGTTGATAGAAAAGGTAGACAGAGATAGGTACAGACATGTATAATAATGGATCAATTATGCTATATGCTCAAAGAAGATACATAGGCTTTCAGGAGTACGAAAGCACACATGTGGTGGGATGATTGAGGGAGAGATGAGGACTTAATGGAAGCAGTGGCATTTTAAACAAACCTTCAAAGGTGAGTAGGATTTCCACAAGTAATGACTGCGGGAGAAGAAAAACAAATTCTGGGGAAAATGAACAGAAAGAATAAAAGTAAGGAAGTAGGGATAAAAGATAACTAGTGGCGCGGGGAGCTTCAATCATTTAGAATGAGCTCAAATATTTAGTAGAGCACTGGGTAGACACTTAGTAAAAGGAATTTTATTTGCAGTTACTTAGCTTCTCTAGGTCTCAAAGTATCTACTGATTGATTGACTGATATGATGAGGTCGAATGAAACAAGTGCTGTGAAAGAAATGCAGATACTGCTCTGATGGCTTAGTGAAGGAAGCACTTTGCCTGAAATGGATCAAGGCAAACTCCCTAAGAAATAACATCTGGGTTAGATTTGAAAAATGTTGTACAATGACTTGAGTTAAGGGGAACACTCCAAGAAAGAGGTGACAACATGAGGTAGAGCAGAGGCAAGAAAAGAAATGGCATGATATATGTGAAAATAATAAGCAGCTTGGTGATGCTGGAGCAACAAATATGGATCAGAAAGTGGTAAGAAACATACCTGGAGAGACCTAAATCATGTCTAGACTTTATCCTGCAGGTATAGGGGGGATCACTGAAGGGTTTGTAAGCAGTAGGCAGACTGTCAGTTTTGCACTTTAAATAGTTCACTCTGTGGATACATGAAGGTCTGGTTGAGGTGGTTATATTAGTAAAAGGAAGAATAATCAGGAAGCTATTACAGAATTCCAGACAAGAAATGATATGGGACTAAATGAGTGGCAATGCACATGGAGGAGAGGGGAGGGACTCCAGAAAGATATAGGAGGCAAAAACCAAAACTACTTGTAGATGGATTAGACATGGGAGTAGAGCAGAGAGAAGAATAAAAAATGACTTCCAGGTTTCTAGCCTAGATGACCAGGGAGAAAATCAGATCTAGAGAAAGGACTGATAAGCTCCAAATGAGGTAGGAAATTGTGAATTTATAGTGGTGTCCATCTGGATATAATTGTCTTGTGCTAATGCCAAAAAGTTGAAGTAGTCACAAGACATCAAGTTAAAATGAGGTGGAGGGGTGGATAATGAGCTTAATTTTGCACATATTTAAGGCACTTGGAAAAGTGCAGGTCTAAACGTCTTAGTATGAAACTGGACACTTGGGTCTGAGGCTGAAAGAAGGGTCTGGGCTGACGATCTGGGTGACCCTGACATTGAAGTGTAGCTGAAATCACTGGAACAAATGAGATCACATCAAATGAGACGTACAGTGGGCCAAGGACAGACCTTGGAATAAGCAACTTTTACAGAGCTAGCTGAAAGAGACAGAAGGAATGGTCAAAGTCACGTGAAAAAAGATAGTATGAACCAGCTGAGGAAATAGCATGTTTGAAAGAAAGACACCATTAACAAATGGTATCAATATAGAAAAGTTCCGTAAGAGAAGGTCTAAAGCAAGTTGTGGTAGGATAAGCAAATGGGAACTGAGAAAACTGAGCTAACAAATGTAAATAATTCTCGAGAAACTTGGACAGAAAGAAGATGAGGATTAGATAGCAGCTAGAGGAGTTGCAAGATAAAGGGAACTTTTTTTGTTTGTTAAAACCAAAGGGACATGATTGTGTGTCCAGACTGAGAAAAAGGAAGACACTGAACACACACGATGGGAGGACGAGGGTGACAAATGGAGCAGCGGGAGTGGAGTGGACAGGATCAAAGGAACAGATGGCTGGACTGGCCCTGAACAGAGGAAAGAAGTTGAGAATGGATACGAATTTACATTAATTTAAGCAAAGTGGTAGGAAGCTGAGGGACATCACCCAAGATGGCTTCTATTTTCTCAGTCAAGTTGGAAACTAAGCTCTAGAGTGGAGGAGATGAGGGACAGTGCAGTTGAGGGGAGCTGAGCAATTTGGAACAGATGCCCAGGACACTGCAAGGAGCTGACAAGAGAAAAGACCAAGAAGCTCCAGGTAAGCGTGGAAAGTATGCATTTATAGTGGTGTCCATATGATTTTCTTCAGCAAGGAACAAACTCAGCGGAGAAGTTTGTATTGATCCATGCTGGGGTTTTACTAGGAAGATACGAGGTGTGGTCAAAATATACGGTGAATGCCTAAATTAAAAAAAAATTTATTACAGTTAAAGACACATTGCCATTAATCCCCCTCCCTTTGAACACACTTATCCCATTGTTCTTCCACTTTCTGAAGCAGTTCTGAAGTCCTCTTTCGTAAGTGTCTTTAGTTGCACTGTCGTGGGTGCCTTGATGTCCTGAATCGATTCAAAATGTTTACCTTTCATGGTCATTTTGACTTTGGGGGAACAGCCAGAAGTCACGTGGTGCCAGATCTGGTGAATAAGGTGGATGAGGAAACACTGTAATGTTTTTATTTGACAGAAAATGCTGTACCAGAAGTGATGTGTGACATGGAGCCTTTTCGTTGCGATCACAATATACAGTGAATGCTGCTGCCAAGTACCATCCAATGGAAAGGCAGGGATCTTTACTATGCGAAGCGGCGCTTCAAATCTTAGTAACAGTGTGTAACAAGTGTCAAATTGTTCAGTGCCATCACTCAGGTGTGAGCTATGGTTGAGAGAAGGTGTGTTTTAAAGAGTGCCATAAATCATCCTCCATTGTGACAATGCTGTGTCACACATTGCTTCTGGTATGGCAATTTCTGTCAAATAAAAACATTACGGTGTGTCCTCATTCAACTTATTCACCAGATCTGGCACCGTGTGACTTCTGGCTCTTCCCCAAAGTCAAAATGATTCAGGACATGGAGGCAGCCACAACAGTGCAACTAAAGACACTCACGATAGAGGACTTCCAGAACTGCTTCAGAAAGTGGCAAAAACAATGAGATAAGTGTGTTTGAAGAGAGGAGGAGTATTCTAGGAGAGGGGGATTAATGGCAATGCATTTTATACTGTAATAAATTCTTTTTTATTTAAACATTCACCATATTGTTTGATCACACCTCATATGATAGAACTGCTTGGAAGGGAATCTAGATCAATAGCTTAATAATAATAATGACAAAAAAGTAACAGCAACAAAAAGAAACCTCACTATCACAGCTAATATCTTGAGACTATTTTATGCCAGGCACTGTGCTACATATTTTGCATTTATTATCTCATTTAAACTTTGCAACAATCCTGACCATATAGGACTCTGCCCACTGCCCTGTGTACCTGTTTCTAGGACTCTATACTCATAGCACTTACAATGCTTCCTGTAACCCCCTTGTTTGTCAAACTCTACACTAGACTGTAAAACTCAACCACTGAATCCTGAATACCTAACATGTTAAAAATGAATGAAGGCAAGAAAGCAACCTCATTTACGTTTATTCTTGACCACCACCAGAAATAAAATCCTAAATATATAATAATCTCTCTCTGAAAATTAGATCAACATGGGTTACAAAGGCATCAAGAGAGTAATAAAAATTTAAAAATAAACCACTATGTAAAAAACCAAGAATTATCTGATTCCAACTGGCAAAAAGGAAATCACTGCCATGGTTCATTTCATCCTAAAGTGATAGACTTTAAGAAAGAGTAATTCACAGGCACCTTTCTGTTTCAAGAGGACCCTTCCTATACTGTAACTAAACAGTATGGCCAGTAAACTTATTCTTCTACTCATCCTTTTGCCCTTCTCTAGGTTATCCAAATATTCCAATATATTTAGATTTCTTGTACCTCAAAACCACCAAATTATCCACATGCATCTCTTAAATATTAAAAATCAAACAAGCACCACACTCACCTGGAAAGTTCTAGAGAAGTGAGAAAACTGGGTACTGGATAGACATTCACTGCTGTCAGCCCTAATAAAAAAACACATAGGTGTTAGTGACATTCTCTAAAGAAGAAAGTGACACAGTAAACAAGGGAAAAGTGGCTTAGTGAAATCATCAGAGAGAAGACTGATGGCATCTACTGAGATGAACTAAAGATAAAAACCACTAGGTAACTCACGTTAACTGCTTGGTCCCAATTAAAAAACCAATACAACAATCGAAGGATCCTCGTGTATTGCACTGGATTCACACTAGATCAGGCAGTTGTTAAATGTTAACAGTAGCTACTTACTTTTTTAAAAAATTAGTAACTGCATTTTTACTGGCAATACTTTAACTTTTAATTAAAGTAAAACATAAATATAGAAAAGGGCAACAATTTTAAGTGTACAGATCAACGAATTTTTACAAACAGAACACTGTTGTAACCAGTGCCCAGACCAAGAACAGAACATTACTAGCTCCCCAGAAGCTTCCTCTCATCTACCCTTCAGTAACTGCCCCACGAGGACAATACCGTCCTGACTCCCTATACTTCTGACTACTTTTGCTTACTTACAGAAATATACACATACAGTATGTAAAGTTTTTGATCTGGCTTCGCTCACTCCACATTGTACTTGTGGGATTTGTTCATATTATCACACAGGGTTGTAGTTCATTCATTCTCACAGCTACAAAAAACTTTTTATGTGAATATACCATGATCTAGTTATCCATTTTAGAGTTAGGGCATTTAAGACTTTTCCATTTGGGGTTACTATGAATATTGCATCTTTCTATGAACATTTTCATTCATGTCTTTTGTGGCCTAATATGCATTTATGTTGAATATCAGTTTGGGAAAGGAACTGAGGAGTATAAGAGGTGCATCTGTTCAGCTTTAGTAGATGCTACTGAACAGTTTCCAAAGTGGCTGTATCAATTTACACTCCCAAAGCTGACACTGGTATTTTCAGTCTTTTTCATTCTAGTTATTCTGGTAGGTATATAATGGTGTCACAGTGGGGCTTCAATTTGCACATCCCTGATGACTAGTGAAGTTGACTGCCTTTTCCTATATTCACTGATCATTTGGATAACTTCTTTTATGAAACTGAGATCTTTACTTTTGAGGCATCAAAACTGCAAGCGTTGATGTGAATTCTTCCAGGTTGTTGAATTTAAGGATTCTGTAAACAGAGTAGTTAACTTAAAACAAGCCCCATTTAGCTCAGTACTGTGATAGAATCTTGGTTACTAAGGACGGCATGTATGTCAACGAGGTCTTTTCTAATAGGGCCAGTCATTCAGATTCTTTTAAACACATTAAAAATAGAGAATGGGCCTGATAATAAATATTTCCATGGCAGAAAACCTACTACCATCTCACAATATCTATATAAACACAAGTCAACACTCATCAGCTTTGACACTACTCTGACCTAAGCAGTTAATCTAAGCTACAAATGAAGCTTCTGTAACATGATTAAAGGAAATCACAAGAGCAGTCCCTATCTTTTATCCTAATAATGTATTTGAGATACAAAAAATAAAGAGACTAAAATATGAACACTCTTTCACCCATCGTCTAGCTTTTAACAAATCTTCACATTCTGCCTTATGTGTATACTTCAGACTTTTTAAAATTAGAATTAAAACTCTGCACATACCAAGAGGTAAACATCATCCTGAATATGATTTTTACTGTTCTCATGGATTCTTTCATAGTGTTATGGCATACTTATAGCTAAAACAACATTTTGTGTTTTAAAATGTGATATAACTATAATGGCATACATATAATTATGCGTTCTATTTTTGCTCAAAAATGTTTCTGAAATTTATCCATATTAACACACAAAGCTTCAGTACATTGATTTCCATTTCTGTGTAATAATCTATAAATATATCACAGTTTAGCTTACCCATTTTCCTATTAATAGTCTTTTTTTTTTCACTATAATAAACAATGCTGTAATAAACATTCTTGTACTCATCTCCTTCTATACATGTGAGTGTCTTTGGGAGATATCTCAAGCAGAACTGCTAGAATATGGGCTACATGCATCTTTCGACTTCTCTACCACTGTCATATTGCTCTCCAAGGTGGTTTTACTAACTTACCCTCTTACTGGCAGCGTATAAGATTTGTTGCTTCTCCATATCTTCAATAGCACTTAGCATTCTTTTTATTTGATGAGTATAAAATTGTAATATCTAAATTTGCGTTTCTCTGACAGTGAAATTGAATATCTTTTCCTTCTTTAACCGCAGAAAAAGTAATTATAACCTCTTGATAAAGAAGAGCTCTCCATACACAGAATGGCCTCAACAAATATGAGGCCTTTTACATTGAAAAATATTCCTGGAGCAAATCACTATTGAAATGAGGTGCTTCTCATTCTAGAACTGAGGCAGTACAAGGGTTTAGATTAGAAATTGGCAAAGGGTTAAATATTTAGTAAATATTTGGCACTTAGTGAAGCTCAAAGTGTTTTGCAATGTCTTTTTTATGCATATCTCAACCACTTTAGTATTGACGGCAAATTGAAAAGGTAAAGCTAGGTCTCAATGGACCTCAAACTTCACTTTGCAAAGTGGCTGAGGAACATCACAAATGCCATTGTTCTTAGAAAGCTCTGATGAGAGCTACGAGAGAAAAAAAACAGGAGGCTGGATAGAGAACTCACTGTTTGAACTGGCGTAGAGATTTCGAAGGGAGAAGCCACTGAGTGTCAGCTCCCTCAGCTGGTTCCGCTCACAATGTAGCTGCTCCAAGCTACATAAGGAGCTAAGATCTAAGTCAGTCAGTTGATTGTCCCGCAAATCCATCTGGGTGATATATTTATTTCCTTCCAGATTTTCAATAACCATGGTTTTCAAATGGTTCATCCTTAATTTTCAGAAATAAGGAAATCATTAGTAATAAATTCTACTAAAGGTACTTACCAAAAGAAAAATAGGAGCGGTATGTTCCCTTTCACTTTCCTATACAACTTAAGACTTTCACTACTTGCCTCATTTTGCAAGGTACTAAGTAAATAATCAGATAGCCGTACCCTGAGTTCTTTGTTTATAAATTGTTAGACAATCCAGATTGGCAAATATAACAAATTATATAAAAAGAAAGGAAAAAAGGGACCACACCCACAAAGTTAGTTAAAAACTTACATCCAAATACCTAATAAAGTTAGGTAGGGATGAAAGACCAGGACAAAGGAACAAGATGAACATAACCTTCTGGGTTAGTGAGTAGCAAAGCAGTCATGGAGTACCATGTCAAGATCGAGAGGAAGCAGGCATACTTCTTCCTACTGTTCTGCCTACTCTCACTAGCATTCACATTACATTAATTAATGAAGAGGAAAATAAGCTGTTTCTATATGGAATAGTTCAAGGGCAAATTACAGAAAATGGCTTCGTGGTTTTTTTCTATATAAGTATACGATTTAATGTACACTGACCTGTTCTCATTTTCCCGTATTTCAATAAATTTTTCTGTAACTGTATCTTTACAAGGGACATCAACGGCTTAGTGTAAATGATAGAACATCTAGTATATGTCTTTTACCAGCTTCCTTTACAAAAGATAGCAACTCAAAAATAAACTCTTATAAAAATTATTAGTAAAACCTTTAACATTTTAATTATAATACAAAGGTTATTAAGAAGAAACCCAATGTTTCAATAGAAAAATGGGCAAGTTTATGGAAAAACTACCAATAAGCACATTAAAAAAAAAAAAAAAAAGCTCAACTTCGCTTCTAAGTAAATAAATTGATTAAAACAGTGAAATACTGGGCCAGCTGAGTGGCGCGTTGGTTAAGAGCTGGCTTGGGACGCCAGAGGGCCCGGGTTTGGATCCCACATACGAGGGCCAGTGACACTGCCCTCTACAGCTAAGATGCTGAACAACAGCTTAACCTGGAGCTGGGCTGCTGTGAATCGCCTGTGACGGCGTAGGCTGCAGTCCCCTGCTGCAGTGGGTTGCCATAAGCTACCATGTGTAGCGAGCAGCCAGGGGCCGCCGTGAGCGGCCATCCAGAGGCGGGCGACTGATCTGCCTCACCCGGGAAGAGCGTAATGATGGTGACAACTTGGGCCAGTGAAGCAACATCCTCCACAACTAGACTGAAGAACAAAATAACAGCAACTTGTCTGTTCCCCTCCCCCAATTCCCCAATAAAATCTTAAAAAAAAAAAAAAAAGTGAAATACTATTTTCTACCTACTATACTGACAATAAGGTAAAACTTCTGCTAAAATCCAACACTGGTAAGGATATGAGGAAATGGGAATTCTCCAAAATGTAGCTGGGAGGGTAAGTCAGGACAACCTTTGTCAAAGGCAATTTGAGGAACCATGTGGTACCCCTACACCTCATTCATAATCTCTCTGCTATTGAGTGAAAGAGGAAGCTTTACTACAGCTCTGACAATATATACTATTTTAAAAGTCTAGTGTTTTACCGAAATCTTTTTCTTTGTTTTGTTTTTTTAAGATTTTTTGGGGGGAATTGAGGGGAGGGGAACAGCATTGGGGAACCAGGGAAGGGGAACAGAGAAGTTGCTGTCATTTTATTCTTCAGTCTAGTTATAGAGGACGTCGCTTCACTGGCCCATGTTGGTATTATCATTGTGCTCTTCCCAGGTGAGGCAGATCGGTCACCGGCCATTGGACGGCTGCTTTCGGTGGCTCACAGCAGCTCACGTCGGCTGCCGGCCGCTCACAGTAGCCCATGGCAGCCCACTGCAGCCCTCCTGCAGCCTACGGCGACCCAGCGACTCACGGCAGCCCAGCTCCAGGTCGAGCTGTTGTTCACCGTCTTAGCTGTAGAGGGCAAGCATCACTGGCCCTCATGTGGGATCCGAACCGCAGCCCTGCTGCTCAGAGCTGGCGCTCCCAAGCAAGCTCTGAACCAGCTGAGCCACTCGGCCAGCCCCCGAAATCTTTATAAAGAGAAAATTTAAAGGTCCATCAAATGTCACTCTAAAGAAAATATGGTAACGAATGAACTCACCTTAAATCTACATGTTTGATATGGCTCATCCTGTTCAGCACCCCTAGGTTTAGGACCTCCAGTCGATTTCCTGCCAGAACCACTTTATCTAACAAAGTGAGTTTCTCATAGACCTCAGGAATTTGACTAAAGTTGTTGAAGGAAATTCCCAGGGAGGAAAGCTGTTGCAAATTTCCCAATTCTTCAGGCAAAGTAGTCAGAAAGTTGCCATCAAGACAGAGAGTTTGAAGACTGTAAGAAAAAAAGAAATCTACTTTACGAAAGGTTTTAATTGGAATGGCTAGAATTAGAATTACGGATTCTAATTTATGTTACTAATTTATAATGAATCCGATAAATGATAAAACATCCTAAGTCTATCTATAAGGACTTATTAATAAGATGGCTTAGACATAATGGACATGGGTGGTCCTGCCAACATCAAAAATAGTCATAGCCTCTGCTGTTGAAACTGAGGGACTAGTCATTGCTGTAGGTAAGTAACTGCTGCTGACCAGAATCATCATAACTACAGGATTTATTTCACTACAAGAGCTCATGGTACTAACTTCACTCCAAATGCCAGACAAGTTCCTTACTCTGCAAGGGAAAAGATGAATCTAGTAAAAGTCAGATACTTACTTCAGTAGATTGCCAATCTGACTTGGCAGGTCATGAAATCCATTACAGGAAAGGTTTAGCTCAGTCAGGGTAGAAATCTCACATAACAATACAGGAAACAACCCAAGTTTATTATGGGACAAGTTCAGGCCCTTTAGCTGAGAGAATCTAAGAAGCAAAGACACAAATTATACTATTGAATGAAAAAGCAATCTGTTTTAAATGTCCATCATAGAATATGTTCCACAAATATTTATTGAGCATTGGCTACATGCCAAACATTGTACATGGCACAGATACTAAGATAACTAACGCTCAGTCCATGCTATCAAGGAAACCAGGTCTAGTGTGATGAGAGTTCTTCTCTTTTACCCTATAAAAGGCAGAAAATCTTGAAGAAAAGCTTATGCTGGTACAATTATTTTGTATCATGTCATAATGAATGATATGCTTGAAATCTTTTCCTTTATTAAATTTCTACATGCAATATACAAAAGCCTTGTACTAATTAATATTCATGGACACAGGAATCACTAACAAATATGCAGATCAAATCCCATTATAAGCAACGTTTTTCATATTTGAAATTATGTTGGCTCAAATATCACTTGAAATGAATGGACCACTTAGAGCTTAACAATATGTATATAACATGGAGTTTTACTGTAATATGATCTGATGTTCATTTTTACTAATTTCTAGTGCTTCTGTTTTGTTCATACAAGTAAAAGTATCTATACTGTCTCGGCCAAAAATAGTATCATAAATTGGATCCATAGGAGTCACTTTAGTAATTCTACTTTAGGAGTATTATATTTTGTTCTCATGCTAGTGCAAGATGGTATGGCTGAGGTGGTGTTCTCCATGATAATAATCTGTGTCACCTGCTGCTAGATTTGAATCCCTGGTACCTCACACTAATGGTCCTCTGTCAAATTTTTAACTGTTGATTTCTAATTGTCCTGACCTTGAGTACTGTACTGATTGTTCCTTTGGCTTGGTGCCTTGACTTCAGAATTCCTAACCCAGTCCTCAAACTCGGTTAATCTTATTTTCATAGCAACTCAGAAGGAAATGCAAAAACCCACTTTCTTAAAGTTATAGCTTGTTTTTATTTTCACATACCAATATTATTAAAATAATTATCTCATTACTATAGTCTTATACTTGAAAAACATTGTAAAACATATCAGATAATTTTCTGAAAATTATTCTAGAAATACGAATTATTAAGGAAGTGTGTAAACTGTCATTTCAACATGTATTATCTTTTTAATCACCATATAATTTGAATGCTTTAATTTCCAATTTCTCTCCTCCCCACAAGAACCCCAGACAATTACTTACACCATATACTTATTCACTTCCATCCATTTTTAAAGGCGGGAGGGGACATGGATGGAGGTTGGGAATGGGGACTATATTCTAACAAAGGAGATGGAAAAATATATGGGTCATAGTCCCATAGGAGTGGAATGGTTCCTTTATTAGAAGAAAAGGGTTTCATAGCTAATAAAAGACTCAAGAGCTCACAGTAGCAGGTACAAAAGAAAGATAAAAGCCCTATTTTTGTCATTTATGCTTGATACTTTTGATTCAGAAACTTCCATAAACTGAGTCTCTTAATTTACTGTGGCAACAGAACATGCATCACTGTCAATAACTTATAGAAAAAGATTATCCAGATCAATGGCAGCTCAATGTTGCCTCCATAACAGAAATTTTGCATCTATTTTCTATTTTATAGAGGAGAAAACGGGAGTGGGAAAATTCTGTAAATAACAAATTTTACTTCCTCTTCAAACTGGTGGGGAAATTTTCAAATATATAGATGATGGTAAGCAGGCTCACTTTCAGTATAAAGGAGTAAGATATTGATTACAATTCAGTTTTAAGACATTAGTCTGGAAACCTGTTCTCCACATACTTATAGAGAGTGTCAAGGCCCCCTGGTCTTTCTAATTGCATGAAGTTGTGTCGCAGGTTGAGGTAGGTGATATCTTGACTGTAGAAGAGATGCTCAGGAACCTCCTCAAGGCTGTAACATGAGAGATCAACAGTACTGATGCGCTGGGACACCACCTGAACGAGGTCAAACATAAGAGTCATCTCAGCTAGTACTGAATGCTCTCACCCAGCAAAGTATGGAATGACATTTACATAAAAAGGCACAGATTTAAAAGATCAGAAGGAAAAAAAGATAACAAGATCCAATTATTCCTTTATAAAAAACCAGCTCATTTTTACTCTCCCTAAAACCACAAGTTTCTAGGAAAACCCAAAGGTATGCTGTAAAATATCTATAAACAAAGGATAAAAAATATAAATCATTAAGATGGAAAACTAACATTTCATGCACGAAATAAAGTTAAGATGATTAAAAATAACTACAAAACTTTGGGAGGCAGTGTGGTATCGAAAGACATGGCCTTCTGTAGCCACGTGGGCTCTGCTACTTACTAGTGCAGTTTCTTCATCTGTTGTGAGGATAAAATTAAATAACCAAGCAAATAGCACCCTGCTTAGCATACAAAAGGTGCTAAAAAAAATATGAACTTCTCAGGGCAGAAGAATGGAATAGCTACTAAAAATTGAAACTAGTTTTATTCCGAAAAGATTTTATTACCACCACAATATTAGTAGAGAAAATTCAATAAAATCAAAACAAGGTTGATAATTCTGTAATAATATACTAATAAAACATGGGTTCGAAAAATGAGTCTTAAAAAAACAAAGTATCACTGGAAAAGTCACTCATGTTTTGATGACAGGTCATTATACTGAAAAAAATCCTTCATGCAACTATTTAGCTTCACAAAGAAAAATGTGTTAAAATTCTATGACGATAGCTAAGAGAACAACAGAATTTGGAAACTGCAATAGAATTTTAGAGCATTTCATTGTTCCAAGATAAAAAAGCAGAAATTATGCTGAAAAGCTAATTACCCTCAGCATACAGGAATAATGGTTTGTGATAGGGAATAATAATGTCCCATCAGTAAGCTCAAATCTGGTCATTCATCAAAGCTGTTCTAAATATATACAGACCAAGAAGCATTAGGCTACCAGTTAGGGAATGGCTCCATCGATCACTGACTACTATGGTCGAAGAAGTCATTAGAATCTCATTTCTTCAAGGCTCTACCCTCCTCATAGAGATAGTATAGAGAGGTAAAGGCACCTGAAAACACTTTTGAAAGCATTTTGTACTATGCAAATATAAATAATAAGGACCTGGTGGAATTCCATGATTTCATTCATTATATACTCAGAAAGGCCTAGAATAAAATGCGTAAGAATTTTAATTTGTTCTTTTGGGGAGTAAGTTTAGTTTCAAAAATACATTTCTAGGGCCGGCCGAGTGGCGAAATGGTTAAGAGTTGGCTTGGAACACCAGAGGGCCCTGGTTCGGATCCCACATATGAGGGCCAGTGACACTGCCCTCCACAGCTAAGATGCTGAACAACAGCTCAACCTGGAGCTGGGCTGCCGTAAGTCTCCGGCGATGGCGTAGGCTGCAGCCCCTGCTGCAGTGGGTTGCCATGGGCTACCGTGTGTGGATGGCAGCCAGCGTGAGCGGCCGCCCAGAAGCAGGCGACTGATGTGCCTCGCCCGGGAAGAGCGCAATGATGGTGCCAACTTGGGCCAGTGAAGCAACGTCCTCCACAACTAGACTGAAGAACAAAAGGACAGCAACTTGTCTGTTCCCCTTTCCCTAAATCCCCAGTGCTGTTCCCATCCCCCCGATTCCCCAATACAAAAATCTTTAAAAAAAACCACATTTCTATTGGGCTTCTACATTCTCATCCCCACATCATGACGTTTGGTAGCTTCTCACCTTGGATGCCTGCCGTTGCCATCTCTGGTACTCAGCCAAAGTCTCAAAGCTGACATGATAGGTCTGAGCCTGGGCTCCAGCTGAGCTGAATGCAAGGGAATACTGCCGTCGCTTAACTTCCTCTATCTAAAGAAGAGGAGAAAAGAAAACCAGAACCAATAAAACATATCCTCGTCAAAAGGCACAGGACAATACTCAATTTTTTAATAGGCAAAGGATTTGAATAAGTATTTCTCCAAAAAAAGATAGAGAAATGCTATAAGCACACAAAATGCCAAAAAGCAAATAAAATGTCATTAGTTATTAGATAAATGCAAATCAAAACCACGAGATACCATGTTACATCCACTAGGACAGTTAAAATAAAAAACACAGATAATTAAGTGTTGGTTAATAAGTATAGCAAGGATGTGAAGACACTGGAACCCTCATACATTGCTGGTGGAAATGTAAAATGGTGCAGCCACTTTGGAAAACAGTCTGGCAGTTCCTCAGAAGATTAAACACAGAGTAACTATGTGACCCAGCAATTCCACTCCAAGATATAGACCCAAGAGAACTGAAAACATATATCCACACAAAAACTTACAGCAGCATTTTTCTTAAGAGCCAAAAAGTGGAAACAACCTAAATGTCCATCAACAGGTAAATGTATAAACAAAATTTGATCTATCCATGCAATAGACTATATTCAGCCATAAATAGGAATAAAATATTGATACACACTACAACACGTATGAACTTTGAAAACATTATGCTAAGTGAAAAAAAGCCAGTAACCAAGAACCATATACTGCACGATTCCATTTATGTGAAATGTCCAGAATCAGCAACTCTATGTAGAGTCAGAAAGGAGATTAGCAGGTGCCTAGGCCTAGGGCTGGGGAAAGAATGGGGAAACGATGGCTAAGGAGTGTGGGGTTTTTTTTTCAGGGTCATGAAAATATTCTAAAATTGATTGTGGTGATGGCTGCACAACTCTGTGAATATACTAAAAGCTAGTGAACTGTACACTTTAAATGGGTAAATTGAATGGAGTATTAATTATATCTTAATAAAGCTGTTTAGAAAAAGCAAAAGGAATACTTGATTTAACAAGTATGTTGAAGGAGTAGGACTCATAGGATATAATCATAAGTAAATTTATTTATTACTCTTTAATCATGAAATAGTTTTGATTTGATAATTAAATATTTGAATGAATGCAATCTACTATTGGGGGTGCTGGGGACACAGCAGGGTAAAAAAAAAAACAAAGCCCCTGCTCTCAATGGCCTTTATATTTGAGAGGAGACTAACACTGTAACACAATAACTGTGACATGATGTAGCATAACATGTTATAATATATAACTAATATAAAGAAAAACAAAGCAGGGTAAGGGCTTGGAGGGGAACAGGGTGGGTGGTGTGAATGACGAATAGGGCAGACAAGGAAGGTAACATGTAAACAAAGACCTTCATGGGGTCAGGCAGCAAGGCAGGGAAACCTCCTAGGGGAGGAAGCTTCCTGGCACAGCAACAGCAAGTACAAGTCCCTGTGATACAAGAATTTGTGCTGTTTCAGGCCAGGAAGAGTTTTTGGAACAGGCCCACGTGATACAAGGCAAAATTTCCACCTCAAAGGTTAGACTACTCCAACCCTTTTCCCCAAAACTCGGCCACACTGGAGGTAGCTGCCTACCTGCAAGGGGTGCCCTGGCCTGCTTTTTGGACTCAGCTCCTCTCTTATTTACTAGGTAGACTAGATGCCATTTTTGACTCCCTCCCGAGTTTAAGTAGAGAGAGAGGAAGGACAGGAAGATATAAACACAAAGGTTCTTACTAGACTAGCAGAGTTGTAAGCTGACTTCACACTCTCTGGGCCTAGCAGATTTTAAAGGGGATTTTAAAGCAGATTTCAGTGGATCCTTCTGAGGGTTCTTGGGATACCCCTCACCCCAATCCAACCAATGACGGCTTCTCACCTACAGATCTCTTCACCTGGCTAATGCATGCTATGCGAGCAACTGACCACTTCTTCCTCAGACCTGAAGGAACCTGGTGGTCCATTTTCAGCCTGTCGTGCAGTGAAATCTGTCTGCCCCTCCAGGTGGCCTTACTGAACAAGTTCTAAGAGAATCCACCCACCCACCCAATGGCTCTCACTCTCTTTCAATTCCATATGAGTCACAAACTAACTAACATGAGTACACAATGATCCCAATGCATGAGCTAGGCTCCGCTCTGTCACCAAAGCTGCTAGGAAGCGCATCTCTTATCCTCAAGGCTTCCTGGTCAGAAAGCAAGACACCAGTCCACTAGGCCCCATTAGTGCAGGAGACCTCTTTCAAGCTCTCTTGAGTCCTGCTGAAACCTCTTTCACCAGGCTTGAGGAAAGAGGCAGAAACCTCCCATTCCCTTTTGGGGTGGTGGTAGGGAATCACAGCACAATAGCAGCCTTCTTCAAAGAAATTCTCCAAATCTAACAACCCAACCTATACAGCTTTGATGAGGATGAAATCTTTTTATAGTTATGGAACCACTTACATCTTTGTTTGACATCTCACTTTGGTATACATAGTTACTGAATCTTAATCTAGCATGACAGCTGGAACTTCTAAGTTATACTCATAAATCATTACGTTTCTGGTGCCAAGCAAAGATTGAATCAAGTGGCAGAAATACAAAATACTTTAAGCAAAAAAGAATCATATTAAAAAGATCCAATAAATTTTATAATATTCATAACTTTCAATTGTGATGCTCACCGACATGACCATTTTGCTTAGTAATAGATCACTGCAATTGAATGAGTCTGTGTCAAAATCAAGGGTGTTATTGAAATGAATAGATAATAGTTTTAGAATAATCTTTCCTTTTAAATATTTATTATTGATTTTGACACAGAAAAACAGAGTCATATAATGTCTAGTACTGAGAAAGGTTTGTAAATCTCCCAATGGAAGTTCATTTTTCAATTTCTCTGAGTAATTATGTTAATTTTTGCATTACATATGTTGAGACTACACTGTAAAATATGTACTTCAGAATTATTAAATATTCATGGTAAAATGTTCCTTTTGTCATTCTGTAGTGAGCTTCTTTATCCCTACTAGTGTTTCTGCATTAGTGTTTTATGGAAGCTAAATTTTATTGAGGTATACTTTACATTAAGTTTGTGGATTTAAAAAAAAAATTCTAAGTACACAATCTGATGAGTTTTTATAAATGAATACAGCTATATTCACCCCCCCATCCCACCCCCGAGTCGTTTTGTAGTCGGTTTCCCTTGTGCCCTTTTATAGTCAATCCTCTCCCCTCCATGCCCTGGCAATAGTGATATTTTCTTTTTTTTTTTTTTAAGATTTTTTTTATTGGGGAATTGGGGGTATGGGAACAGTGCTGGGGAATTGGGGGAAGGGGAAGTTGCTGTCGTTTTGTTCTTCAATCTAGTTGTGGAGGATGTTGCTTCACTGGCCCAAGTTGGCACCATCATTGCGCTCTGCTCTGGCGAGGCAGATCAGTCGCTGGCTTCTGGACGACCGCTCACTGCGGCTACTGGCCGCTCACGCTGGCTGCTGGCTACATACGGTAGCCCATGGCAACCCACTGCCACAGGGACTGCAGCCTACGCCGTCGCCAGCGACTCATGGCAGCCCAGCTCCAGGTTGAGCTGTTGTTCAGCATCTTAGCTGTGGAGGGCAGTGTCACTGGCCCTCACATGTGGGATCCGAACCGGGGCCCTCTGGCATCCCAAGCGAGTTCTTAACCATCGCGCCACTCGGCCAGCCCGCAATAGTGATATTTTCTATCACTACAGTTGTTTTGTCTTTTTTAGATTTTCATATAAATGGAATCATACAATAAAAAGATTTTTGTACTTTGCCTCTTTCACCTAGAATAACGCTTGTGAGATTCATCCTTGTTCTTGTATGTATCAGCAGTTAATTCCTTTTTATTGCTCAATAGTATTCCATGTACAGATATACCAAATCTGTTTATCAATTCATCAGTCAATAAACATTTGGGTTGTTTCCAGTTTGGGGCAATTAGAAATAAAGCTGCTATGAACATTCACTTAAAGTCTTTGTAAAGATTTGTGTTCATTTTTCAATACCTAGGAGAATTGCTGGGTAATATGATAAGCGTATGTTTAACTTTTAAGAAATGAAAAAAAAGGTTTCCAAAGTGACTGCACTCCCACCAATGATGCATGCGTGTTCAGTTGCTCCCCATCTTTGCAGTCTTTGATTTTAGACATTCTAGTGGTGTGTAACTACCTCACTGTAATTTTAATTGCATTTCTCCAATGACTAATGATGTTGAGAATCTTTTCAAGTGTTTATTTGCCATCTGTATATCTTCTTTGGTAAAAGATCTGTTCAAATTTTTAGCTCGGTTTTTTATTAGGTTATTTGTCTTTTTATCACAGTGTTGTAAAAGTTCTTTATATATTCTGGATACAGTCTGTTGTTGTAATATAAACTTTCATGTAAATGTTTCGTATGATGTTAATATAACCATATCAATTTTCTTTTGGTTGCTATTTGACTAGTATAATTTTTCCATCACTTCACATTCAACCTTCTATGTTTTAGGTGTGTCTGCTATAAACAATAAGTAGTAAGATTTAAATAACAATATGACTAAAAAAACCCAATAAATAACAATCTAATAATCACAATTATTGTGATTACTGATATATTTGGATTTATTTCTATCACTATAATTTGTGATAATTTACCATGCTAATTATTTTACTCCTTTTTTATAACTCTTTTCCTGCCTTCTTTTAGCATTACAGAATATATTCTCCCTCTACTTTCAGTGTTTAGCCTTAATGTTTTTTAATTCATACTTGACAATTTTTCTAATAATGTTAAAAGTTATTTGGTGTTTCTATCCTCTTATCCCCAGAATGTATTACACTTTATTTATCGAATATGCCAACACATCTTTAATATTGTTTACGGTAGTTTGAGCTCTAGTAGTTTAAAATTTATAATTAAAATATTAAAAAATTTTAAACTCTCTACAATCAATATTAAATTTACCACCATATTTTATCAATGTCTCTACTCACTGTTTCTTATATCTCATACTTTCTCTTTCAACTTACTTTCCTTTGTTCTCTTTTTTTCTTTTACTTTTTCTTTTTGGCAGGGAGTTGTTTTTTTGGAAATACATCCTTCAGTAGTTCTTTCAGTGAGACTATGTCAGCTCATCAGTCTTTGTCTGAAAATGTTTTATTTTTGCCTTGACTCTTGTAAGATAACTCAGCTGGCTATAAAACATATGTTGACATTTATTTTCTTTCAGCAATTTTGTAAAGAGTCTTTTAGTACATATTGTTGATGAAAAAAAAGACTTGTCAATTCTTTGTAGGTAATCTTTTTCTCCCTGGAAATTTTTATGATTTGCTCCTTGTCCTTCATGTTTTGCAATGTATCTAAGTGTAGATACATTTTTACTTATCCTACTTAACAGCCGGTGTACTTTCAATCTGAACACTCATGTTTGTCTTTACTTCTAGAAAAAATGTCAACCATTATTTCTGCAGATATTGCTTCTCTGTTCTCCTCTACTCTCTTCTCTGAAACTCCTATTAATGTACACCAGCACCTCCCTTAAGGGCTCTTCTCTGTTTTTTATCTGTAAAATTCTTCAGTATATCAGTTAATTATATTCAGCTGTAAAACAGTGGCTTAAAAAAATAGAGTGAGTCCATAACTGGTACAGCAGCTCCATAATCCCACCAGGGACCCAAGTGCCTTCTATTTTCCAGATGACCACACTTAGCATATGCTTGCTGTTCCCAATCATCACATGACTATTCCACCTCCAATACTGAGGGACTATGTTCCGTAAGGGAAGAAAAAGTAGGGCAAAGGGTCAAGCCATCCATGTCTGTCCATTTTAAAGGGGCTTTCCCAAACGTCCCACCTGGAAACTTTTGTTTATATCTACTAGCCACCACTAGCTGCAAAGGGGGTGGGGGAAATACAGTTTTTAATCTTGGTCATACTGCCACCCTGAACAAAATTCTCTTCTATTAGTGAGGGAAGAGAGAGAATAGAGAAGAATTACCTGAATGGAAGGTTCATTTTTTCTTTTTTTCTTGCCCTGTCTCCGCTTCCTCCCCATCAACCCCTCAACTTTGCCCTCACTCACTTTTTTCCTTTTGGAGAAATTTTACCTACTTTCTTCATTGTGTCCTTCAGCCCCCAAGACCAGAACCAGGTCTCATATTGGTAGTGGTGGACTCCTGCCTCACGGCTGATACTGGAGTTAATACACATTCATTCATTAAGCCAGGTCCTCCATCATGAGCAAAGCACTTTTAGACCCAAATACTGAAAGGCTGCCACAACCTTTCAGACACAGAGTCCAGCAGGCCCCCAGATTCAGACCTACTCACCACTTAAAATTTCTATTCTATATTCCTAAGCTCAACTATGTCCTTTTATATATTTATCTTCTTAATATATATATATACATATATATACATACATATATATGTATGTATATATATATATATGTGTGTGTGTGTGTGTGTATATATTATCTATATTGCTATATTGTGTGTCTGGATCAGACTGGATGTCTCAAAACATGAATTCATAGTCATTTTGTCTGGAGGTTCTCTTAAATTCAGACTGTTTTATGATATTTAAGATTCAAAATAAATAAAAGTTATATATGGCTTCATATAAATATTAACAAATCCATTTCCAGTCATCTGTCATTCTGTCTGACTGACTGAACTTCTTTCCTATGATGGGGAATTCTCTAGTACAGTTGCAAGAAATGGCACACCTCCACGGCTGCTGGATAGAGGCTTAGGACCACTCCAGGCTCTGAATGTTAGTCTAATGGGGGAAAAGAAGAAACTGGAAAGAATCTATATTGGTGATGGATAATGGCAGCCACTTCTAGTTTCCAAAAGCAGCTTCTAGTGTTAGCATCCTCTGTCTACTCTTGGTGTTACCAGTGACAGCATCCAGTGGAGACAGGAGTATCTTCAAAAAAAGGTTTCTGCAGTAGAATTGGGGCATGGATATCCTTTGGCCTTCCCAGAGAATCTATGATGTAAATAAACCTGTTTTATGCTTAAATTAGCCTGAGTTAGTTTCTTTCATTTAAAGCTAAGAACTCTAAAAAATAAACTTTGTGATGTAATCATTAATAATGCTCATATTGGCTTCTTTAAAAAGATATGAAAATAGCTATGAAAAACATATATAATATTTTTTCAATTAAGATGATCAAATGAAGAATAATTCATCTTTGTGAGTCTTACCTTTCCCCCAACCAGAGGCAAAATGTGCATCTTTCCAGTTTGACAATCCTTCACTGAGGAAACAATGAGGCAGGTGCCACAGAGAACAACTAGGCGTTCGGCCCACTTATGCAGCTGGGTCTTCCCCTTGCGCACATTATAGATGCCCGAGAGAAGGATTCGATCCAGATGATCCATGTGGCATGGTTTTTCTGAAAAGAAAACAGTACTTCAGAAGCCACCATTAAAGTAGGATAAGAACACTGAAAGGGAAAAGAAAGTACTATGTGTCAAATTTCGGCAACCTTGTTTAAAGATTTAAGCAATGTAAGTGTTATAAAATAAGATCTCAGTCCTAAAATGCTACCCATCACTGAAGTTACATAATGGCAGTACTGTGAATTTTGGTCTAGAGAGCAAGATTTTATTTTTGGACGCCACTGTTAATCCTTCTTCCAACAGCCATATCTCCCATGTTCACACAGAAAGGCAATATGGCAGAGTGGTTAATGGTTAAGATCATGGACTTGGGAGCCAAGCACTCAAACCTGAGCTTGAATCCTTGTTCACCCCCTTACTTTGTTTCTTTGAACCACTGAATCTTGCTGGGCTTGACTTTCCTCTTTTGTACAGTTTGCATCTGAATAGTACTACCTACCTTCAGGGGTTCTTATAAAAAATAAAGATAGTGAATGTAAAGTTCTAAGCATAGTTTTAGGTATAAAAGGCATGGAATAAATGACAGCCACTATTGTGATTAGTCTATTCTGGAAGGAAGAAATTAATAACTATGGGAGTACTCTAGATCTATACGCAATCATATCTTTCTGCTCCTTATAAGAAAAAAGTTATGGCTGATATTTCAATCAACATCCTAATCACAGTGGCAGAAGTTAAATGTGCATGTAAGAGCTTCTCTTTCTTTTAGCACCCTCCTCCCCAATAGAAATATTTATAGACTGAGATATAGTGAACAAACAACACATTATGACAGAAGTGATGTTCTTGGTTAAAGCACTACTAAAAACAGTCAAATAACTACACAGAAATGAACAGGAGCAGCAATAGTATGAGAAGGTGCAAACAGTAACAAACTGGGAGTTGAAAAAACTGGGCTGTGCTCAATATTGTTACATAATTACCACATAATTGAACTTTGGGCATCACTTTGCCCTTTTAACTATGTGTTTCCATATATAATATGAGGAAATGGCTAGATTACTTCAAAGCTTTTGAACTTTGTATGTTAACACTAGATATATGGGAGAGCCATTTCTCCTATTCTAGGCCAGTCCTTTCACCTATATTCTAAATTCCACCTTCCTCAGGGAGTTTGGTTCTTCCCTCTTCTCACTTTTCCAACTCCACCTTCCTTATTGTTTCTATCAAAGCTACAAAAGCACTCACGTTTTCTCCTATTCCCTCTTAGGTTCAACTGTAGAATTCCTTTAGTTCAGTGATTCTCCAATTTCTATGTGCACAAGAATTATCTGAGTTAGTTTAAAATGAAGAGTACCAAGACCCACCCACAAACAGTCTAATCCAGAGGGCCTGGGGTGGAACACAGGAAAATGTATTTTTAACATTTATCCCAGGTAATTTAAATGCAGGACCTCAAACCGTATTTGAGAAACTCTGTAAGTTTACTATTTTGAGGCTCTTTTCTTCTTATTTGTGCTTCTGTATTAGCTATCTGTTACTTCACGTCCTATTTACTCAGTTTACTTCAATCTGGCTTCCATCCTCCCGCCCCCTCCCCTCACCCCTGCTGCAAACTGCATGATTCATAGGTTGATATTGGCCCTCAAATTTCTGTCTCCTACCCCAATCTTTCCTTAGTTCTGATCGCATATATCCTGTTGCTTGCTAGACATGTCCATCAGGTGTCCCCATTCACCTCAAATTTACAGATTCAACACCAAACCGGTACCAGACTGGAAAGAAAGAAGTAAAACTATCTCTATTTGCAAATGATATGATCTTGTATACAGCAAATCCTAAGTAATCACAAAAAGGACTATTATAACTAATAAATTAATTGAGCAAGATTGCAGGATACAAGATTTTTAAAAAAATCAATGGGGGGGGGTCAGCCTGGTGGCTCAGTTGGTTAGAATGCGAGCTCTGAGCAACTGGGTTGCCGGTTCAATTCCCACATGGGCCAGGGAGCTGCGCCTGAGCTGAGCTGCCGGTGGGCAGCCAGATGACTCAGTTGGTTAGAGCATGTGCTCTTAACAATAAGGTTGCCAGTTCGACTCCCGCATAGGATGCTGGGCCGCGCCTCTTGAAACTAGCTTGAACACAGCAACTGGACTTGGAGCTGAGCTGCGCCCTCCACAACTAAGATTGAAGGACAATTTGACTTGGAGCTGATGGGTCCTTGAAAAACACACTGTTCCCCAATAAAGTTCAATATATATATTTTTAAAAATCAATGGTATTTCTATGCACTAGGCATAAACAATTCAAAAGTGGAATTAAGAAATCAACTGCATTTACAATAGCATCAAAAAGAATAAAATGAAGGTAATGCAAAACTTTTACAGTGAAAACAACAAAATATAGTTGAAAGAAATGAAAGAAGACCTAAATAAATGGAAATTCATGGTTTGGAAAGCTTAATATAGTTAAGATGGCAAAGCTTAATATAGTTAAGATGGCAAAACTCCTCAAACTGATTTACAGGTTCAGTGCAATCTCTATTAAAATTCCAGCTGCCTTCATGGCAGAAATTGACAAACTAGTCATAAAATTCATATAGAAATGTAATGGATTCAGAATAGCCAAAACAATCTTGAAAAAGAAGAACTCACATTTCCCAATTTCAAAAATACTACCAAGAGCTGGCACATGAAATACAGTAGTGACATAAGGATGGACATAGAGTAATGGAATAGAATTGAGAGTTCACAAATACACCCTTATATTATAGACAACTGATTTTTACAAGAGTGCCAAGATAACTCAATTGGGGAGAGAACAGTCTTGTCAACAAATGGTGCTGGGACAACTGGATATCCACATGCAAAAGAAAGAATTGGATCCCTAACGTCACATCATAGACAAAAATTAATTCAAAATGGATCATACACCTAAATGTAAAAAATAAAAGTACAAAATTTTTAGAAAAAAACAGAAATAAATTTTGTGCCCACAGATTAGGCAATGGTTTCTTAGATATTGACATAGAAAACACAACTGACAAAAAAAATAATAATAAACTGGACTTTATGTCTAAAAACTGCTGTACTTCAACAGGTACCATCAAGAAAATGAAAAGATGACTCACAAAATAGGAAAGACTACTGGCAAATCATACATCTGATAAGGAATTTGTATCCCCAACAAATAAAGAACTGCTACAATTTAGCAATAAGAGGATAACTCAATTAAAAAAATGGGCAAAGGATTTGAATAGATATTTCTTCAAAGAAGATATGCAAAAGGCCAACAAGCACATGAAAAGGTGCTTAACTTCTTACTTATTAGATAAATGCAGATCAAAACCACAATAAGATACCAGTTCATACTCACTAGGATGACTATAATCAAAAAAGATAAACAAGTGTTGGTAAGGATGTAAAAAATTTGGAACCCTCATACATTGCTGGTGGGATTATAAATGGTGTAGCCACTTTGGAAAACAGTCTGACAGTTCCTCAAAAGATTAAATACAGAGTCACCATATAATCCAGTAATTCTACTATGTCTATATCCAAGAGAAATGAAAATATATATCCACACAAAAACTTGTACACGAATGTTCATAGTAGCTTTTAAAACAGCCAAAAAGTAAAAACATTCCAAATGTTCATCAACTGATGAACGCATGAACAAAATGTGGTATATCCATACAATGGAATTATTATTCAGCCATAAAAATGAATGAAGTGCTGATAGTGCTACAACATGGATAAACCTTAAAAACATTATGTCAAGTAAAAGAAGCCAGCTACAAAAGCCAAGTATATATATGATTCCATTTTCATGAATTATTTAGAATAGGCAAATCTATAAAGACAGAAAGTAGGTTTGTAGTTGCCAGGTGTTGTGGGAGTGGGGAACGGGAAATGACTACTAATCGATATAAGGTCTCGTTTTTATGGTGATAAAAACGTTCTAAAATTAAATAATGGCAATGGTTGCACAACTCTCTGAATATATTAAAAAGCACTGAATTGTACAATTTTAAAAGGTGAATTTTATGGTATGTGAGTTATATCTCAATAAAACTTTTTTTTTTTTAATCTCATTATTTTTCCAAACCTGCCATTGTTTTTATATTCCCCATCCTGGTTAACAGCATCACCTAATACAAAGTTGGATAAATTAAATAAAAATGGTACTTCATTATAGTTTACCATGCTTCTAAATTGCTTAAAAGTCTCCTTTAAAGTTTACATGAAACAGATGTTAAATCAATTGATGTATAATTCATTGAGTCTCTTTTTTCTTGGCTTTATTTCTTTATATATTTTATTATAGAGAAAACTCCTAAATCTATCCACCACCACTCTCAGAAGGGAACATTCAAGTTTGTTTTAGAAGTTATTTATATAAGAAATAAAATGCTGTTTTATTATTAATTTTGGAGTGTTTGTAGACATCCAGAGTGCCTCAAGTCCCTGATCTTCTGAAAGTGATAAAAAATAGAATAAGGAACAGAATAAGTATCTGGAATGTCTAATAGTTCTAATTAAGAACTAGTTTTCCAATCTCAAAAGCCAAAACTATTAGTAATTTCTCTAATAAAATTAGAGATAATTTTAATATCCTTATATATTTATACTTCCAAATGTTCTATAAAAAAAATAGATTGCTTTTGTAATTTAAAAAAACAGGACCGGCCGAGTGGCTCAGTTGGTTAAGAGCGTGAGCTCTGAGCAACAGGGCCGCCAGTTCGATTCCCACATGCACCAGTGACGCTGCGCCCAAGCTGAACTGTCACTGAGCTGCCAACAGGTGGCAGGATGGCTCAGCTGGTGTAACAAGATTGCCTGTTCAATGGTGGGCTATGCTCACCCGCAACTAAGACTGAACACAGCACCTTGAGCTTAGAAGCCATGAGCTGCCAACAGGAAGCCATATGGTGACTGGTGCCCTCCACAACGAAGATTAAAGAACAACTTGGCTGTCCCCTCCTCCAATCCCCAATACAATCTTTAAAAAAAAAAAAATTACAAATAGAGTATCAAGGGCAACCCTGTAGCAA